ACCTTGGGGCATGATACGCTGGTTGACCAGCTGACACGTGACCGGATGATATTGGAGGGGGGCCACCGGTAGATAGGGGCCACGGGGCGGTCACGTGGTCCAAAAGAGCTCTCGGGAACCTTCGAGAAGGAGCTCGAGAGACCTGGAAGGTGGGCGGGGCGGAGCCAGCCTCAGCCCAGGGGAATATCACGAGGGCCCCGTGAGGAGCTCGAGGATCTTCGTGTGCCGGTGTTACGAAGATCCACGTCGGGGAGAAGAAGCCTCTAGCCACGTGGTCTGGGACCCAGCTTGTGGTCCGGACCGGGATAGCGAACCGTGTCTAGTTCTGTCATAGCGTGGTTAGATGGGCATTTGAGACCCGAGTGTAGATTGTGTGATGTTATGTACCATTGTGTAAATAAATAGTGTTGCTCCTAAGATAACGTCTGCGACTCAGTTGGACTCACTACATGTGTAATAAAACAAATAAATGTGAGCAATTATAATGGAACATTCATATGAGCCGGCTTATGTTGTGTTTGCTTCAAATAATCTTTCTGAAGTATACAATGGTGTACCCAATAAAATTATAAATGCATGAAGATTTTTACATGACTGTAATTACAATCAAAGGTATTGTCATTAATTAGGTATATGAAAAGTGCATGCTTTAATGGTAATAATGGAGCGATTGTGGGGAAAATAAACACATGTAAGTAGTTGCATTAAATTTCTACTTATTTCTACTGTCTAATAATTTAAACATGTACAGCCATTAGCTACTGGGCAGAGCTTATCAAATTCAGCAGAGTAACTCCGTGGTTGGAGTACTGTACTTGTTGGCTCATGATTAGAAAGTTACAAGTTAAATTCCCACTTGGTACCTAACTCACCCTCATCGTCTTGTCGAGGTCAATCAAAATAACCACCTCTTTATAGTCTGCGGTTGCTATCTCGTGAATGGTATGGCACCTGCCGTGGAAATGTCGAATGCATGCATTGTGTATTTTAGCAGGGAGATATTTAATTTGTGCGATTGTGAGAGTTTAATGCACTCGATAGAAATAATATCCATATTTTATTTCAAGTAGAACCATGTGCTTTGATGTCAGGATTTGATAAGTGGTGTCTCTAAACCAGTAGTTCTTCACCTGGGGGGCACGCACCCCCTGAGAGTGCGAGATGCCATTTCTGGGGTGCGAGACATGCCACCTTGTTTTAGAAGGTAAATCATCGAAACGCAAATTAAGCACGGGCACGTAAGTGCAACTACTTTGTTTCATAAAACTTCTGTATTTGTAGTGATGTCGCGGATGTCACTGTGTAATGCTGGCCCTAGAGAGGCATGGCGTGCGATGTATTCACACCGCGGACACCACGAGGATGTGGGTGGTGCAGTACCGGCCCTAGAGGGGCTTGGTGAGCGCCGACTGACAGTGCTGGATGGCACCACGCTCTGCGTGCAGTGCCGACCCCTACAGGATACGGTGTGAGAGTGCCTGCCACGGGAATGGGGTTACTAATGGCCGTGGCACTCTGGTTAACCCTGAAGGACACGTGACCGGTTAAGTCTACACAGGGCCCCCAAGTGGGGGCTAGGGGTGGTCACGTGTCAGGGGCGAGATCCTGCTCGAGGATTCTAGAAGGTGGTCGTGGCTAAGGGCGGAGCCAGCCACGCCGCAGAGGATATAAGCCGGGTCCCCGAGAGGGACCGGCTGCTGTTGTTCATCCTGAAGAAATCTACGTTCTATGTCCTACAGTCACCAACACGAGGACCTGGACCCAAGCTGTGGTCCAATCCGTTGTAGCAGTTACAGTGTAATTAGTGCAGTTAGCCTGGTGGTCCACCGCCAAGGTTGTTATCTTGTTAAGGGGCACTTACCCCGTGTATTGCTATTCATTAACATACATTTTTTTACGGTTGTAGTAAAGGTTTAAGAACCACTAATCTAAACTCTGATGTGGAGGTTAGGCCCACAGAGCTGTTTCTGATTGTACTGACTGTGCATTGTATAGTTGTTAAATGATAAGACAGTTCAACACATGTTAATATAGCTCTGTTATATAGGTCCTCTGTTAGAGTATTGTGCATACTATTGAAAGTCACTAAACATATATCCCAAGAATACGAGCTAATAATATGGTGTATGTTAATGATGTGTCCATTCCAATAGGGATGTGTTCTATTACGGCCAAATGTTAGTTGTCAATATTCATCATTCATTGTAATGCATTCAATATGCTGATTATAACGAGTCGGTTTAACAAAAAGCAATCGTTTTTTTGTCTCTGCGAAAAAAATCAAGTCATTGAATGTCATAATTATAGGGGGCAAATGTTAACCCATTAGTGTTCAATTCTATTAAGTGGCATTAAGACATCACAAGTGTATTATAATAGAAATTCTCACTGCTTAGTAACAGACGTGTGCACATTAAGAATGAACATCATATGCGATGTTTTAATTAATGTGATGTGAAGGATTTAGGTGATAGTGCCTTCTTCATTAAAACATATCTCCTCAAGGCTGACATTAAACGGTTTTCTGCTTGGTGACTTTCATTCTAAGGATAAATATGGGGGTTTGAGATGATAATTCTTAAATTAAACCGATCATCCGAATTAATATATATTTAACTGGCAAGAGATGCTGGTTCACTCAAGATATCAATCAAAATTAGACGAAGACAATGCTAATGTTAAAATAAACATGTCACGGTATCATATTACCGTGATATATTTTCATAAAAGCATAAATGAGGCGGCAACGAATGAACACCGAATGAACAAAAAATGTACTTGAGTGTGAACTCTGCTGTTGTGCAAACAAGGGCTCTAAAAGCAACATCTGTTACTTAACCTGAGTAAACTTGCAGTCTGCCTGCTGGGGCTAAGCTAAATAAGTGGAACAAAAATTCTGCCTTCATACATAACCAGCTGCACACTTAGTTTACTCTCTCGATACTGTAATGCTGTGATTAAAACATCTGCTGGCTCAGATAATTCCATGAGCAGCCAACTCAAACTTCCATTTCGCTTGCTTTTACATGAACAGAACAAGGCAAAAGTATTGGATGGATTGGGAGTCTCTTTCAGCCTTCTACTCTATGCCTCCATAATGGCTCTTAACACAGGCACACGAGCCTGCTGGGCCCCTGATGCTGAATAATGTTGATGCTTTTGAACAGCAGCAGATTGGAAAAAAGGCCATACACAGCCGTGTGAAGATTTAATTACATATCTTTTATCTAAACAGGTGAGAGGTCATCGAGACACCTCACTTCATAAGGGAGACCTGGGTAAACAAGCGAGTGACAGTTATTATATTTTTGTTAAACACGTTCATGGATATTTTTCTAAAGCCGTCATTGAAATTGGAACACATATCCTTTTTTTACGAGTGATGTCACGTGGCTTTTACCGTTTACTCTGTTACAAGTGGCACCCTTCCCTGGGAGGGGGGGGGGGTGCAAACAGCTGCGGAAATTAAAATGTAACAAGGTGGTAGGCGCTGAGCATCATGCCAGCTAACCACCAAGCCCATTCACGCATCGCTACACGCAGTCCATTAGCCCGGACCAGTCTTCTCCCTCGTCGGTACCACCTGAGGTGGCATAAACCTTAGCCGTTCCAATTTTTTGTTATGGCAACCAACAGTGTGATAACCACTGGAAATGAGTGGATTTTCAAACAATGCCTAATTATTTGCCAATTAAATTAATTGGGACTAAAACTCTGGCTCACGTACGATTATTTAGTGATGACGATAGGTGCTCGTCAATTTAATACTTAGGCTTTAGCGACCAATGTTGTACTCATCAGCGAAACATCGTACTCGAATTGTAAATATTGTGGGTTTTTTCTGTCCAACACATCGTTCTGCTGAAGTATTAACTAATTGGGATGTTTTGCTCACGTGACAAACGTTACTAATTGGCTGTGCCGGATGGAGGTGGGTGTCCGACATTTACATTTACGCGATCTAACCCAGCAAACTTGATTACGAATGATAAGTGCTATTTGTAATGCGCACGATATTTCAGGGACATGAATGACCGTGACTGATGCGCAGAGCCAGGCTCAGTGTCACTCAAGAGCCAAGCGATAGGGGTGTGGGCCTTTAAGCGTCTCTTGAAAGTCAGTGCAGATTTAACGCTGCTGCTGCTAATGTACGGTGGGATGGCGTTCCAAATGGTGGAGGGAGCTGCCATGGAGAAGCAGGTGCCTGGCAGTGACGCTCCTGGTCCTCGGTGTTGACAGCAGGTTGTGAGTTGCGCTGAAGAGAAATTTCTACCATGGGCTGTATGAAGTTTGTTTACGTGTGTCGATGTGTTCTTCCTGTAATCCACAATATGTTTTCCCATGTGCAAAAAAAAGTTTCAAATGCCCTTGGATGGCGATGTTTTTTTTTCATATTGAGTGTAACCATTTGTTAGCAACTTTAATACATATCAGCAATGCGGATCCATGAGCGGCAAGCTATTGATAGTAAAATGCTTCCAGGTTGTCATGGGGCGGGAAGACAAAAGAGGGTAATGAGTTCCAAAGTTTAATAGCACGGAGTTTGAAGGAGGCAGTTCATTTGAAGGTTGGCAAGGACACATTCATACGGAGAGATGAAGTCGAATGGCATGAGCAGATTGGTGGGTGAGTGGTATAATGGGAGAGAATGCAGAAGAGCAATGGCCATGGAAGAACCAGTGGAGGAGACCTAGGGAGGGTGCAGAGTGACGATGAGCAATAGCGGCAAGAGAGAGGTAAACTTGACTGGATCACCCGTGTGAGAGCAAAGCTTTTGATTGGATTTTTCTGCGGACTAACCATTTGTAGAGCGTGAGCACTGCCTGCAATTCCTAGCGATATGAATGTCAGAGTGATCTCATTTATATGCATGTGTTTTATTAGGCGCTTCGTCACGTGTTGTGTATTAGTGGGAAGGAAGCTATTGAAATGCAATTGCCTGCAATGACATTTCTGTGCGAGTTGTAATTAAAGTGATGCGTTCTGTAATTTTTCCGCAGTGCGAAGAGATTGCAGGGGTGAAGGTGATCGTCTACAGTTCCTCTCTGTACTACGGAAACCACGACCACTTCAAGACGCAGGTTTTCTCGCTCGTGGGGTTGGACCCAGGCCTGGAGAAGGCGGCGCGAGAAAAGGCCAAGAAGAGGGCCAACGTCATGGGCAGTGGCCGTCAGGTGGGCTCAGCGCCCTCTGCCCAGGTGGGTTCAGGCCCCTTTCTGCGACGACCTGTCGGACGCAGGTCCGAACATCGCCTCCTGGAATATGCAGAGATACGCTGAGGCGGAATCCAAACTCTGATCTTACGATGAACGCACCACCAAATGCAATAAAAAAAAATGTTGGTGAATCTGCTTCGAAGCAGCTCGCAGATGAATACGCTCCCAAGGAGCTTACCCAATACTTCTCACTGGAATGTGGAGGATGCTAATGTTTAGATCAGACGAAAGCTGTGCTCAGAATTTTTGTAGGCAAAAGCTCTGCTGACATTTCACAAAAACAGTATTTCCGTTAGTTTACAGCAATTGTGTCGAACCCTCTGAAACACACTTTTACATTTTTACAACACTTTCGACGCAATGTAAAATTCCTTATCTTGCGAAGCATTGGAGCATCTGTAATCCTATCCAATAACAGTTATAATTAATTTACCAGAGTGGCATATTCACCATGAACACAGGAGCATTTTCAGTCAGTTAAGGATTTCAAAGAGAGAGATATATTATTTATTTTATTTTCTGTAATGTTTTTTCCAACATAATACAGTAACTGGAATGGCTAATTCGATTTTTCCCCAATTTCATCGAAGCAGAGGCACTGAAACAATATCAATACATCTTTAAATTCGTTTGTTGCATAAAAGTACATGCAGTCAAGAGTGGATTTAATAATCAAACCGAGTTGAATATAAATATTGCATGATGATATATATGTAGGCTGCAAGCGAAGAATTAAAACCCATTTCTTTTTTTCAATTATTATCCAAAAGGGCCAATGAGTATTATGGATATATCCTGGAAGACACACAATAAACTGTCTCTATAGTTACAAAGGCATTAGGTATGCATCTCCAGTAACCCAGACGTTAGTCGGGCAATACCCAACGCCATGTGCATATTCTAAGCATAATTAAACATTTACAACAAACTTCCAGTTATTAAAAATTGCATGAAATTAATTATTATTATTTGCAACGACACTCGTGCACATTCAGCGGTAACCCCCCCCCCCAACCCCGCCCCCCCCTATTATTGCCACTGCTGTTGAATGCTATTCCAAAAAAAATCACACAGGGCCCCCAGTTTCCACTTGAAAACATGTGCGTATTACAATAATGTGATTGGAAACCAGATCCATGCAATCTCTGTTTTTGAATGCCAATCAACATATGTGTATTCTAACGGCAGAGGATTTTTTTTCCACCAAGGAAAATGCAAAACGCATTTAAAATTGGCAGTGAAACAGATGGAAAGTTTCCTTTTCCCCCGGCACAGGTGCAAAAACAATTATTTTGCACAATGCGTAAGAAAATAACGCGGTACTTAAATGCTTTGTCCTGATTTTTTTATTCTTTAAAAAAATATGCAGTAATTTTCTTTGCGCATGCTTGCTCGCTCGCTTCTTCACAATCCCATCTTTTCTGTAAATTTGAGAGAAGCCATATCCACCTGCTCTCTGGAGAGGAGAGATCGGCTTGATCGAGAGGGTAAGGGTAAAAAGGTTGAGGCTGGTTAAGGGCACGGGTCATTGTTTAAAAGGGGTGCGTGCGTAGACATGCCAGATGGTTAGGGGTGAGAGGAGACATTGCAAATTGAGTGGGGGTGATCTAGAGGAAGGACATAGGGTCAGCGCCTTTGGGTGCACATACCACACTGAGGGGAGGTACGGGCAGGCGAGTGGAGACTTTTGTGTGTCTGGAGTAGAACGAATGAGGGATGAGAGGAGGGACTTCAAAAGAAATTATAAAGGAGTGATGGCTTGGTGGCCTATGGCTTTTCACTCAGAATGCTGCCAATCTTGTCAGATGTCATAAGCTAAGCAGAGTTGAGCCTGGACTATTGCTTGGATAGGTGACCGTCATGCACAAACAGCTTGTCATCGGTAGCTGTGGGGCAACATAATTGTACAATAGCGGGCAGTGCAACCCCACATCCATTGTTGTTCTGTACTTATATGTTCCATATCTAACTGTGCTTCTTGCCTTCACCAACCCGCACTGACCAGCGCAGTGAAGTGTGATCATTTAACCCCCACGATCGTCATGGGGAGACCACCAGTGGGTTAATAGAAAGGGCTCCACTTGTTTATGATGGCATGCACGCAAGCGGTGCGGTTTCCAGAAGCTGGCTTAGGTGTTCCATAACTATAGAGTCGAGAGTACTCGTAAGTAGAATAGAATTGGCATTCTAATTAGGGTTCATTCCGAAAGATCGTTCATTTTGCAAACTAATTGTTAAAAAAATATTTACAAAGTAGAGCCATAACAGAATTCAATGCCGCTCTTAATTTTTTTAAAGACCAATCGTAAACTAAAAGTCACCAAGTCAACAAATATGCATGACTTTTTTTAAAGAACAGGAACTATTTTTTCCCCAGGAATTTGGCAAAGTCTATGCATTTGTAGGGTTATTAATCGGCACTCCCCATGCTGTTAGCGGGTAGCTCCGCCTTCTCGTCAACAAGGGGCGGAAGCGGGGCCACGCCCGTGTAAAGGATCATGGCCCAAAGGGCCAACGCCAATCCCTGGAAAGACGGATCCTGGGACACAAATCTCCAAACCCCAGGAGGGTGGATAGGGGCATGATGTCACCTTCCAGAAGGTTCTGGAAGGGAGGCGTGGCTAAGGCGGAGCAAGCCACGGACCTTTAAATAAGCCGGACCTCTGAAGGGCCCTGCTCAGTCATCTTCAAGCCGAAGACCGAATACGGAGCTGAAGATAGGACCCTGGACCCCAAGCTCCGCTCTCCTTCTAAGGGCCGGAGCTCAGTGAGGCCAGTGGCTGGGTCAGCGTGGCCTCCCCTAGGGCCCCTAGCTGGAGGGCTCAGAGCTAGCGTGGTCCCAGTGTTAGCAGGCAGTGTAGCCCAGAGGCCATACCTCCTTAGGAAGGTATCGGGTGGAAGGGGCCGTTACCTCTTTTTCTTACGGACCTTGTACTCAGTGTAGTAAATACATATTGTGTTGCCTCACCTACGTTCTCCTCTTGTTCCTGATCTACTACACATTTATATATTTCCTTTTTACGCCATATCTTGTGAAAACATTACCACTTAAATAAGCGTCAACTAATTGCATGGGTGTTTATATGAAAAATGTTTAATTTAATTTTCTAACGGGCATTTAGCATTAATTAAGTTATCGTCAGCAGAAATAATAGTGCCTAGTGTGCTTGCTGATCAGCTGCTGATTGCAATTTCTTTTTTTATGTTCATTATAGTATTCATTTGCGTTCAAGGAAATACATCAGATATTTTTTTTTAACCAAGAGCCAGTAGTACTTTTTTTTAAAGCATCTTAGAAGTTGTCTCAACATTAGATGGGCAGATGAGATTGTTAAACCCATGAAGCCAAAGAATACTCTTTTTAAATCCTTTATATTAAGTTCACTTGCTTGCTTGCTTGCTTACGGCCGTGCATATCTTTCGGTCGTTTTTTAACCCACTTCCCGTGATTCAATCGAGCTGACATTTTCCACACAGACTCGTTGTGCGTGACAATTAATTTTCGTGAAATTTTTTTTCCAAAATTTTACACTGTTTAGTGAAAAAAGATTTAAATTTCTAATTACCATAGGTGGCAGCCATCTCAAGCCAGAGGACGACAGGACTCTAGCCGCCACGCATATAAAGGATTTAGAGTGAAAAACTTTGTTTTTACGGGTTATACTTATTTCTTTCATAGCAAGTGGCCATATTACTGGAAAAATACCTCATCTATAGCCCCTAGCTGACACATGGAAGAGGAATTAGTTTTGTTATTTTATATTATAAACGTCGATATTGAAGCATTCAGCTTTGATCCATTACAGCATATTGTGTATATTTCTGGCATCCTCTTAGATTACTACTAGAACATGGTGGCCTATTTTACTGAAATTTATTTCTTGTTTTTCAGTACTGTATATCCACATTATACATATTCCCTGAAAACCATTGTTGATGCAGTGTTAGAGGTAGTGTCAGCTGATCCTGTATGGGACGTTGGGGCGGCTTCCCACCTAAAAGCGTGTGGGGTTTTACATTTTTGTTTAATCTCTCTTTAAATAAAAAGGTAAAAGATAAAATCCTGCAAAAAATTTTTGTTTGAAAGTGGCTAATTTAAGACACTTCGGCTTGACAATTGAGTTAGAATTAATTCAAGGACAATCAATGCGAGAGGAATCGAATCGTGCGGGGCGACGATGCGATTGGCCGATTAAACCCCCCCCCCCCCCCCACACAGAGGCAGCCATGGGTGGAACACGTGGCCGAGGGGCGCTTGCAAGGAGACGTCACGAGCCAAACTTCAGGGGCCATCTTGAGGCATTCCACATGGCCCACCATAAGCAACACGGAAATCCCCTCGCACTAGGGTTAGTAAGCTATTGTGAATTACTCGAGAAAGTTGCTTTCCAATTAGATTGGTCATTCTAAGTCATAGATTGGATAATCGAGTTCTGTTTAAGTACTGCACGGTATGTTGGACTTCTTTTGCACCGTACGTAGTTCAACATACATGCAGTACAGTACTTAAACTGGACTCAATTTTCCAATCTATGACTTTGAATGGACAATTGAGTTGGAAAGCGACTGTCGAGTTATTGACAATTTCTTAAGTAAGCCTATAGTAATGAGCATAACGATCTGCATTGTGCTCATCAATCATCACGTGGTACATTTTGATGGGAACAAACAGAGAGCTGCACCTTGTATTGACATTTTTATCATCAGCCATGATTAATCCACTGCTGCATGAAGGCCTCCATAAACCATCGCCATCACTCCAGATCCTGCTATGTGGCAATCTACCTAGCACCTGCACGCGAGCTGATTTTGTCACTCCATCTCCAAGATGGAAGTCTTCTTGGGTGCATTCTGGCTCATTTGTTTTGTCTGCTTCGTTTGTTTTGTCTGTCTGGCCGCTTTGTCTGGATTGTTTTGTCTCTCTCGGTAGTCCCGTCTTGTTTATCTCATCCATGTATATAACTCCCTCTCTTCCCGTTTGCTGTCGCCAGCATAGCCCCACCATGCATTTTACCCACCAGCTGTCTATGCGAAGAGGGCTCAATGGCCCCTGTTCAAATCTAAAGGTCCCAGAATTGAATTCTGCCTGGGGCATGTATTTGAAAAAAAGATTCCAAGTTTAAAACAACAAGTGCCACATTTATATATTTTTGTAACCAGGTGAGAACTCAAGAGACCAGGTATCGTCTCACTTGCAAGGATGACCTGGGGAATTCGTCTACCTCTAGGGGGTTATAATTGCTGTGTATAATCCCAATTCAGTAATTTTCATTGCCTGTTTTTTTTTTATCATCGTGTCTATTAACTACCAAAGTAATAATAAGGCCAGCCACTGGATTTGAACTGTGAACCTCTAAGCAACAAGTGGCAAATGCGCTACTGCTGGGCCACATCACCGCCAGGTCCGGAACAAGGCATGGGGGCTTTAGGGGCTTCCGCCAGCTAGAGGGCCTCTAGAGATTCAAGTTGAAAGTTATTTCATTTGTGAATGCTGAATTTAATTTGTTGTTAGCCTTGTAAAAATGATTTTTTTTTCCTTTTGAAAAATTACTGAGGGCCTCACAATAGCTGTAGCCCAGGGGCCTACAAAATATTAATCCGGCCTTGGTCACTGCCCGTGTTTAAACATCGTAATTGAAATAGAATAGTACATGTATACATATTTATGATTCAAAAAGAAATAAATGCCAAGTTTACGCGTATGCTTTGCCCTGAGGCTCAATTTATCCTTCCGACCTTTGCACTTGAAAAAGGTGGAGCGATCATTATCCTGTTCGCTACCACGTGCTCTGGGTCTTCTTTAATACATGTTTGCATGGGCGCTGTATATACGCATCCCTTACTGTCAATACTCTGTTGGCTGAGAGCCTCCGCAAGCCACGTGTGATGCGTGCCAGATTACACTATGTAACACAATTTTTGTTCCTGGGTAGTAAGTGTCATTTCGTAATTGCTTATGCATGAAAAGTATAGAAAATGTCTGTTATTCTCCACAAACTTTGCTTTTGTGACCAGGACAGTGATATTTTGAAATGTACCTATTTTCAATGAGAAAACTGGCGAATTTGTGTCTTTTCGTTCACATTAAGTCAGAAAAAACAACATATGAATCAAAATTAACATGTATTTCTACTAAAGTAATACAAAAATGACTACAAAGATTTAGAAGTGAATAGTTTTTCGAGATTTACGATTATACTGTAAATCACTTTCACGAATCAGCCCCCAAATATAGTCTCCCATCATGTTCTCGTTATACTGTCCTTGGTAGCGGCGTTCAAAGTCCAGTATATCCTGGTGGAAGTGCTCGCCTTGCTCCTCTGAGTACGCTCCCATGTTCTCCTTGAATTTATCTAGATGAACATTAAGGATATTGACTTTGAGGGACATCCTACAGCCCATTGTGCCGTAGTTCTTCACCAGAGTCTCAACCAGCTCCACATAGTTTTCGACCTTATGGTTGCCCAGGAAGCCACGAACCACTGTGACAAAGCTGTTCCAAGCCACTTTCTCCTTACTAGTGAGCTTCTTGGGTTATTCATTGCACTCCAGGATCTTCTTTATCTGTGGTCCGATGAAGACTCCGGCTTTGACTTTTACCTTAGACAGCTTAGGGAAGAAGTCTTGAAGATACTTGAAGGCTGCCGACTCCTTATCTACAGCTTTGACAAATTGTTTCATAAGGCCTAATTTTATGTGCATCAGCACCTTCCAGGAGTCCATCAGTGGCTCCCAATTGACATTGTTCCTCTCAACAGAGAACTAAGGTCTGCTGTAGCCAGTCCCGCCTGTGGTAGTGTGCCTTGGTGTCCCTGCTGTCCCAAAGGCAAAGATAGCAGGGAAACTTGGTAAAACCGCCTTGGAGACCCATCAGGAATGCCACCATCTTGAAGTCTCCGAGTGACCTCACAGCTGTACTCATCATACTTCAAGGCGTCCAGCAAGGTCTTGACGCTGTTGTAATTCTATTTGAGGTGCACCGAGTGAGCTAGGGGAAGAGACGGGTACTTGTTACCATTATGAAGCAGCACGGCTTTGAGGCTCCTGGATGAGCTGTCAATGAAGAGGCGCCACTCATTCTGGTTACAGGCCGATTCCGATTGCCTCCAACAGACTGGTCACATTGTGGCAGAAGCAGAGCCCATCTTGACGGGTGAAGAAGCTGCAAAAAGGTTGGTGACGCTTCCTCTGATCTGCTAATTGCACACTTTCATCCAACAAGTTCCACTGCTTGAGCCTAGACGTCAAAAGCTCGGCATTGGACTTGTAAGACCAAGATCTTTGATCAAGTCGTTGAGGTATTTTTGGTTGGGGTAGTATGGGGTTTTCTCCTCAGCTGCACCTCTGAAATTGTCATCTGGATCTACAACGTCTTCCTCGCTCTCTGACTTGCTGCTCTCTTCTAAAGACGGCTGCTCTCTCTCCCGGAGGAGTGGGTATGGGGAGCTCATGGCAGTGTGGCACCGGGGCGATGGATGAAGGAAGGTCCGGATACGTGATAGCAGGTGCATGCTTGCCAGTCTGACGTTTGGAACGGTCCACCATGCAGAAGTAGCAGTTGCTTGAGTGGTCAGTGGGTTCCTGCCAACTTACCCTTGTGTTGTACCCATCTCAAACCTATATAACCTCTTGCTGCAGCAGCTCTCCCGCTATATTTCTCCTGCCGCAGCAGTTCGCCTGCTGTATTTTTTCATCTGAAGACGATTTCTTGTGTTGCGATCGAAACGTCGTGATTTTTTTGATTTTTTTTCTATCTACGTGACTTTACCGAAAGACCCAAAGAGTATGAATTCCTGCAGTCACGAAAGCTTTAAGTCAAGATTTTAACAAATTTTATAACATAAAATTCCCAGCAACAATTGTCCATCTTACCTTCCAGAGTTTTTTTGCATTGCTTGCAGGTGAAATGAGGTGCCCAGGATTTGTCTTGATCCCTGAAAGGCATGCCGAAATATGCCTTGTGAGCCTCACACATCTTAGCAGATGCTTCCACAGAGTACTTCTTCACTCGTCTTCATAAATTGGCCGCAGACAAAGCAAAATGCGTCTGCCGGATGCTTGCAGCCTCTTGATGCCATCTCAGAAAAATGCAGATGTGTATCCACTTAGGCAGCTGGAACTAAATTGAACTGGTGGGCTTAAGGCCCCTTTATTTATACTACTATTTACATTACTGGAAAGTTCTAGAATGTTCTAGAAGTTACTCCAAGTTTACTCAACCCTGAATCTATCTGGAATGTTCTGGAAATTAGGTTAGTTTCAAAATATCATTGTACTAGTCACAAAAGCAAGTTTGTGGGGAATAATAGCTATTTTCTGTACTTTCGAGGCATAAGTAATTAGGAAATAATACTTACTATCCAGGAACAATAAATAAATAAAAATGTGTTACACAGTGTTATTTTTCCACACTTCACCAAACTGATGAGTTGTGGGTCGGTGAAGTCAGCGATCATCGATGTGGAAGCAAAGGAGTACAGTACAACAGTGGATTTGGCCACACTGCTCACAACGAAGCTACACAAGAGCTTGACACCACATATGCATATATAGTTGACAGTGTTAGGTGACTATGTACAGGAAGTCCCCGAGTTACGATGGTCCGACTTACGATATTTAGATCTTACGATTGCTAAATTATCACCATTCTTTAAGACTCCTGGGTAGGCTAGGCCATCTTCGACTTACGGTATTTTGACTTATAATGGGGTCGTCGTAACGCATCTCCATCGTAAGTAGAGGACTACCTGTGCTTGAAAACAGCTTTATTTGATTATTTCGTTTTACATGAAAAAAAAATCCCACTCAACCAATCAGGACATTACTCAATCTTGTTTGGGTGATGCACGAAGACACAGTGGCCCTTCTACTGATTAGATCCAGCCCAATACCTGCAGGAATTGTATTTGTTTCCTACGATTGCACCCTGACCTTAGCTTTGCATCGCTAATATCAGGCAGCCATAACGGTGATTCTGACACATTGTCGGTGGTCAGAATCACCATTAAACTGCCATGCTAATGCTTCGTGTGTGGAATGGGCCCGATTTCATTCCAATCCTGGGATGGCATTCATGTGAGAAGGGAAACCCTGTGACGCTTTGGATAACCTATTGGAGGCCAGCCATGACACATCCCTACCCTCCAAACATAAGCCATAAATCCAGTTGTCCAATCTCTCACGAACACAAGTCCTGAATATATATATACATAGATTATAAACATTTATCATAAAGTTACAGCAGTTACACTGAGATTGCATGTTCAAAGTAATTCAGCACAAATCGTCTTTGACATGGTGTTTATACTGGACTGGCAATTTACTTTTGTGTTGCACTGGTTCTGAGGTTCTGTGCCCTCTTAAAGCATGTTACAAACCTTTAAAACAAAAGCATGTTACAAACCTTTTGTTTTGCTGAGTTATTTGTTTAGATATTTGTTAAATATTTTCAGTTGGAATTAAAATATGTGCGTTTTTTTTTTAATGGGGAGCGGTAGAGTAGTGGTTAGCATACTGTGCTACGGAACTCAGCGACCCGAGTTAGATGCCCGCTCACAGCCAAATGGTGCAATGTGTAAACATCACCACTCGAGAGACAAAGGTGGCTGGGCGTGGTGATGACCACCCACCACCTCGTGTGCTGTTCCGGCCTTCATACGTGCTCACTAAAGCACTTGCCCCTACAGTCCATTAAGGCTACACGGGGGATATTCGGTTTAATTGATTTTTAATACACGAGTTTAAATTCCAATAACATGTATCCCTGTATAATTATTGCAATTTGCTTTCACGTGTATTTTGACAGAACTGCTCGCCAAGAGATGGAGACTCACCTTTTGCGATGAATAATCCCTCATTTACTGCAGAGGGCACAAGCCCCCAAGGTAAGGAAATCTCTTGGTAGCCGGCAGCAGTTGAACGTAAACGATTGTAAACAGTTTTTTTTATAAACAGTCTATTTCGCATAGTACCATCCTAAAGTCGGTATCCTCCATCTGCCAGCATTTCACTGTCGAATGAAAATCGATATTTGCTGTAAAGTAAGTTGTTTCGAACATTAAGCGACAATGTGATTGTTATTTTAATTTAATTGTGTCCTAACGTGCAAAATAACGAGTAAACATTTTCTTCTCGCCGAAATATTGCGCCACTGGCAATGTTTCACGAACTTTTGAAGAGTGCGCATTTTCCATGCATATCAATATTTCATCCACAGCAATTTGCATGGCTCTTTCACGGAGGTTAGAAAAATTACCATAAGAAAATTGCTATTGGAGACGTTTATGCAAATTGCCTTTTTAGTAGTAAATGACTAAGGTAAAACATATTAAATTAACATCTTTATACGCCTGTGCAGTGTGCATTAACTTAACCTGTTAAAACAGTTATCTTGTCCACAAAATACAATCTTAGTACATTGTGTCACTTATATGCAATGGTGTGATCCATTAAGCAAAGAAATGACATTTTAGCATTTATCTGCACATTGTAAACATTGTAGTAAAGTTCTCAAATAGGCATACGCTCTTCATTAAACACACACTCATTATTCCGGCTAATGATATGTGTCAGCGAGTGTGTCTTTGGCAAATTAATCCTGTGCTGGCCTCATATTGCAGCACTGTATTAACAACCAAGTCCACTGGTTTGCATTGTTACGAATTAAACGTTGATCCTTTTGGGTCAACGATTGAGTTTGTTTAAAGAAGGTCAAAGGGCTAACGCAGAAGGGTTTTTTTTCTCTCCACGATACGTTTGTAAGTTTATTCTTGTGCATGCACATTGTTGTTACATGCAATGGAAGAAACGTGTAACTATTTAATTTCTATAACCCACAATCCCTCAACAGTGGTTGTCATATTGGGTGATTCACTTCCACCAAGGGAGTGTGGAATGTCCGCCACTGACTTTGAGCCAGTGGCACACTGTTGGGGTTGTCTGACAAGCAAATGGTTGCTGGTGGTTATTGATCAAATTACAGACGCACAGTGACCCTATACACTGCACAGGGGAGTTGCGAGGCATGCACGCATATCATTTGCACACATTTGCATATGTATTCACATGTACATTGGCCAGGGCAGCAGGTGCTGTACAAGTGGCACTCATCGCACAGGCAGCGCATGAGCAAGGCATTAATGAATTACTGAATGACTGCATGAGTGAATTAAAGAATGATTGAATGCATAAATTGTTGATTGGATCAATTAATTAATACCTTAATGAAGGCATAAATTAATAGTTGGATACATTGATGAATGGATGGATAAAAGCGTGAATAAATGGATAGATAAATGCATGAATGGATTAAATGGTTTCAATGAATGGTTGAATAAATGCATGAATGGTGGCGAAGGGGCGTTACGGTGGTGAGATGTTAACGACCTCGACTGGTATATAGGAGGACGTGGGTTCTAACCTGACCCTGACCTCTGTACATTTGGAGTTTGCATGTCTCAACTCCACGTGGTTGCGTGTATTCTTAACCGGGTCCCATTCGTTTCTCCCTCCATATTTAGACACATGCGTTTAGAGTATTTGACTGCTATAAATGTCCACGTGATAAGCCGATTCTTTGAGCTTCGATTTGTGGCCAGGTCGCTTCTGAAAAAGAGCTAAGTAGCTCAGTGGCCCTTACCTGGTAAAATTAAAAATAGTCTTGTTATAGTTCAGTTTAAAATGAATGTATATATGCCTGAATGAACGAATTCAAATGTTGTGAGTGTCACTTTGCCATGTCTAACATGTGGAGGTGAGGGCACCCGTTACAGCCATTGGCTGTGCCCATGCACTGGGCTACAAATACTCTTCATCAGAATCTTTATTTATCCTGGAAAAATCAGATGAGCTATGAAGCTATTTTTTACGAGACGTGCAGAGGCCCAACGCTTGTTGGGGCCCATACAAAGACAAAGACAAATATCCCCCATATAGCCTTAACAGACTGTTGGGGCAAGTGCTGTTAGCGAGCACTTATGAAGGCCGGCACGGCACACGAGGGATTGGGTGGGCAGCAACCTCGCCCGGCCGCCTTTGTCTCTCGTAGGGTCGATGCTTATGCACCGCACCAGGTACTCATTTGTAGGCTGAGTCGACCTAGGGGATAATCGTCACTGGTGTTGGTCGTGAGCGGGAATCGAACTTAGGTTGCCAGGTTTGTCATACAGCACAGCGCTAACCGCTACACTATCGTCCATAGAACACACACATTTTGTGTAAACATTGTAACTTGATCAATTGTCATCTGAGGTGTACAACTTATAATTTGTACCTAAATTGGGTGTGAATTGTTACATTCGCCGTGGAAGCTGCACAGCCTACACGCCGATATAATAACACTGTAATCGACAAAAATTCCTGGTCATATATCCCTCATACTAGAAGAACGTGTGCCTTTGGAGTCCGAGCTGATTGTGCCGCAATGTGTCACCGCACTGATGGCTTCACAGGTCAGGTCGGTGGTGCGCTCTCTGCGTGTGGCTCGCCACCTGTGGCACAGGCGGAGAGTGGCCCACCACTCCAGGCCATTGTACTGGACTGCAGTGGATTCAATTTCATGGACTCGGTGGGGGCCTTATCTCTAATACAGGTGACGTACTTCTCAATAAAGTACAATGTGTGCAAATCGAGGCGGCGCAACACACCAGCATTTTACCTGTCATCGGCTATTGGATGTATTTAAGTGATTCTCGGTTTGGGATTAATGCTTAATATGTTATACATCAGTGGCACTCCGATTCCTGCAACCTAAATAACCCTCACTGCATATCATTTACTTGAAGAGTACAACCATAAAATGCATGTAATTCAACCCAGTGGTCTGTAATAAACATAGTATATTTGGTTTACGTCTCCATTTATTGGGGATAAAGGGAAAACAACAGTAGTAGGGCAAAAGATATACAACCTAAACACTAATGAATATAAGTAAGCAGAATTCATTATATTGCACTAAGGCTTCAGAGTGAGCAATGCAGATGCATACCAACCGTCTGGCATATCAATGGAAAGCAAAGCAATTAATGCCAAGGAAAGAAATCCGCATGAAATATGAATAAGATTTCATACTTTTTCATCTGGGTTTTTCACTGAGAAATAAATTGCATGAAAATAATTGTTCTTATATAGTCAATAAGAACTATTCTGCTCCTGACTCATTAGTTATAGACATTCAGTGATTTTTTTTTTCCAAACAGCATTCAATTAAAGCTTAAATAAGTGTTATCCAATAATATGTCTGTTTCAGTACATGACTGATACACGTTTACATTAACGAAACAATGCAAATAGATATCTGATTATACGCGAGTTTATCCACCTTTTGGACTAAACTTGTTGTGCCAGGAACGTTTAATTATCCCCAATATATCACAGGATGCCATCACAAGATTGGCATGCGACCAAATTGGTCTTACAAGGCAGTCGCTAAGATCTCATTCGTGACAACAATCCCTATGAAACATTCTGTCCATAATCCACCACACTTTTTATGCTACCAAACAACAGCTGCATGTGCTTTCAAACAGAATTCAAGGACATTAAATTACAGCTTAAAGAGCAGCGTTGCCATCTCACACAGTCGTCGCTCATTAAAATGTATGACTCATAATAATATTGGATGTGCATGCCAAGATCGGTGGACTGCGGCTTGACAAATGAACTCGAAATATGTTTTATATCTTAAAAAAGAGATTCTGCGAGCCTCTTGTACTGAAAATAAAATGCATCCATCACCGTGGCATTGCTAATCAGTGGAGTGCAAGGATGAGCTCAACTGAAACTGGGACAATATCGTGATGGCCATCTCGTGCCCAACTCTTCAGAGTAGCAGGAATTGTGTTTCCATCTCCATCAAGATAAATAAATAAATAAATTTGTTAATCCTTCTGATTAAACACTCACTCACGTGTTGGTGCGGCTAATGAAGGTCGCATATGTGGCGCATTATTAATGCTGACGTTTGTTTGTCTTTGTGAAAGGCCCTTCCTCTTTAATCATCTGTGGTTGTGGTTTCAAAAATTGCATTTGAAAGGGCATTATTTTTTAATCACATCTCAGTAAGTATGGATATCCATGGATTATGTCATTCCAACACAACAACAGCCGTGTTTTTTGACACATTGGACATAATTTGCAGAGATTGTCATGAGCACATGACAACCAGTCAGTAAAATAATGGTTTGCTGTGCTATATTTATCCAATTGCTCAAGAATGCTATTAAAAGTAGTGACATTGTGACACACTATTCAAGATCGAGTGATAATAGCCAATGCTGGTGATGTCACCTCACCTTGCAGCAGTTTTGGCGCCCACGGTCTCTGCTTGAATGTTTAGAAATTTGAGGCCATCCTGATTGTCACCACACGACATCTCACCACCTTCACACGTCTAGCAAGACCATTGCTGGCTCCACCACTCATTCCTGTCACCACTTCAAGGTCCTCCTCGAAGTCATTCTTGACTCCACCTTCTCCTTTGACAGCAACACCAAGCACATCACCAGATCCTCTAACTACCATCTCATGGCCCTCCATAATTTACGTCCACTCATCGCCACATAAATTGCCGATACCCTCGCCTGCAGCATAGTCGAATCTCGCCTCGACTATTCGCCACTCCATCCTTATTCGATCTTCATCGAGTAACCTCAGGAAACTCCAACATTTGCAAAACCATATCTCCCATGCCATCATCAGTGTCTGTCATCCTAGGCTAGATTCCCTCACTTCCCTCCATCCCTTCCAATGGCTTTCCATCGCCAGCAGGAGCAGCTAGAAGATTGCCTGCCTTTGCCACCACTTTCGGCTGCCCACCGTTTCTTTCTTCACTCCTGTCACACAGCACCACAGCTCACATTAGTACTCCCGCCACGGTGCGACTCACGACATCATCTCTATACCCAGGGACCAGGGATGTCACTGTCGGGCATCGTTTTTCCGTGGTAGCCCTTGCCGTCTGGAACGCCGCTGCACATTCTCAGCAGAAACCTAAAGTGGTCCCATTTTTGTCGCCCGGCTTTCAAGCGACACTGAGCTTGGCTCTGCACCGCAGTCGTGGTCATTTATGTCGAGTGAAATATTGTGAATAAAATTGCATTATTTATGATTGTAACTTCTGCCAGATCCTGAAACTATTGCGTGTGAAATACAGTCTGCTCTTACACGTGCTCTATTATAATATCGCACCATCTGGCTCTAAGTGTTATCCTTGGCTTCTGACCTCTTGAGTACCACATAAATGTATTTTTCAGTAACTTGCCCTCCTCCATCTGACACAGCACCTTTCCACACCTCTGATTAAAATAAAAACGTGAACACTGTCCTGTTTTGCCAAGCAATTTTCAACATTCTTATTATGCACCTATTACAGTCAAAAGGCCGGTAACCGTCCTTTCGAGCTGCTTTATTAAAGTCCAGGGGGCCCAATTTTTGTCCATCATCCTGCCATATTTTTGGGGAATTACAAATCCGGTTGTTGTGATAAGTCAACCCGGGTTCACGATTCCCTATTTAACATGGGCCAAGTCCTTGATTGGGGATCACAGGCCACCCATCCTCAATCCACATAGCAGACTGGGTCAAAGTGTCCAGGGGCAATGGTGGACCTCGGGAGGAGAGCTACGTAAAAGCGGAACAACTTGATTATGCTCTTCCCAGTTCCACCATTCCAAGGGTAAACTGTCAGCGTCGTAGATTTGAAGGCGTGGTCACAAAAAGGGAGTGCAGAGTGCTCATGAGGGGGCCCATGCCGCAAGATTCATGTGGCCCGTTTGCGCCTACATTCCACTGTGGTGACACTCGTGCCTCATAGCAAGAAGGGCCTGGGTTTTGTTCCCGACTCGGGGCTCCTTTTTCGTGCAGAGTGTTTGTTTTATGTTCTCTCTCCTCCTGGTGCTCCGGTTTCCTCCCATAGCTAAAGGAACTGGTATTGGCCAAAACATTCCACTGTTGAAAAGTCGATTGAACATTACTCAATTGGTATTGCACACAACAATCTCGTCCCTACTGGGAAAACTCAGCAGAACCCTGCTGAAAAAAACAACGAGTCTTGCGACTCTTGAGTGTTTCCTAGGTAAACGAGTGTAATACAAATAAGAACATAAACACAGACGCCCATCCGAGTGCAACTGCGCCCCACTGTTGCAGCACCGTGGAAACCCAACCAGGGCTTCGTGGAATGGGTTTTGCTGTTGACTGGCACTGCAGCGGACGTAGGCCACTAAACCTGACATGTGCACATTTGCATATGGACATTATATGCCCATCTTGATTTGCCACCTCAATTTTTATGGGCAGGGCTTGCATCACGCAGGCTGTTTGAAATTCCACCGTGCACATTTCTTCCACAAGTTTTTTTTTAATGAAAATCTGTGCACGAATCACACAGAATGAGTTATCTGAAGTGCACTGCAAGCATAATTTCTGGGAAGTTTAAAATTAAAACCATGAATTGAGCTACAGCTCTGTGATCTGTGACCTCAGACATTGCTCTTGCCTCAAACACTCTTATGTTCCTGTGCTTGTCAGCGTTTTCAAATGCTGTAACTTCACGCCTTCTTAACATGAACTAAATAAGAATACAAAGAGTTGTTTAAACACCATTTTGTTCTTCGATCTATTATCTATCTGTACTGAATTTAACTTTACATGAAAACATTTGAATGCAATGACCAAGGTGGCTATATTTCCATATATATTACATTTTAGTAGGTCTTAGTGGTTTGTGCTTTGAATTCAGAATCCTTTAGTTTGGGTTGGTGGCTGATACAGAGATGTAATTTTTTAATCACCGGTTCTCCATATCACCACGTGTGTCACCGTTCAGAGCTCTGAGCCACCACTGTTGAGATGTTGGTTTTGAACAGCCAGTGATTAAACAATGTCCTCAGGTAAAGTGAGTTGGTGGTCTCAACCCAGTCACCAATGACTGCAAAACAAACAGTCAGTTTTTGTGAAATTTAGTTTTTACTCTAGATTTGGCTAAAGTCCAGTATCATCGCATGGCAGGTGGAGAACTTTACCGCCTACTGTGTAAATGGTAAAACAAACCACTCGCAAGGATTTTTCGGGAGAAGTCCTGCGAAAAATATCTTCCACCGGCTGTTATCTGAAATATGGTGGGGGGGGGGAGGGCATGCTGTGCTGTGATATTTCCGGGTGAATTCTTTATCTCCTGACGCTGATGGCAAAACTGGAATTGGGTAGAAAAAGTTTTTTTTTTATATATATAACACAATGTCGCCAGTTATAGTTTGAGCCACTGAAGTTTCTGGAGCTATGCTCTTTCAAATCTAGATTGAAAACTAATTTTGCGAGAACTTATTATTTTGTTTAGTTTGTTGTCTTTCCCCAGCACCTACTATTAGCACGGTTGGCTACGTACAGTGCGAAAGAAGTCCCACATACATACATGAGACATTCACAAGCTAGGGAATATGGTGTTGTGGGATTTAGTATAGGAGATATGTTGCTGAGAGATGTAATTATATTTTATAGGATGTCAAGGTTTTTTGTAAGCTTTCTGCAGTTTCCTCTCATTTGGCAATAAACTGAAGAATGACTTCACTTGTCCTCATTTCAACATCGTTTTGGGTTATTCAAGCACTCCTGATGATATGTGTTTGGGTGTAATGTTCATGAAACATTTACTAAATAATATAAAGAACTGTGTACATTCATCTCTAATGTTTTATGCTCATAATAATGTTGTGGTATATGCAGCACTTTGTCCGAATGCTTAAATAATTAAAGTTCCAGGTCTAAATTAATGATGACATGGAAAACTTTAACATTATGTCTCTTATTTAAATAATATGCGTTTAATCCACTTTTTTTTTTCTGCTGATGCAGGTCTGTGAAGATTTCAGAGATATTGGAACACGCGTCCTTTTGGCACGGTGCTCAGGTGGGTCTGATATGTCCCGTCAAGGTCCCTAAGATCTGGGGATGCAGGTCTTCTCTGCATTCCCAGGTCGAGGTTTCGGTCTTTGGGGTGACCGAACTTTTTCCCGTGTAGCCCGCGGGTGATGGAACGCTCTTCCAACAGATATCAGGGATCTCTGAGTCTGTGGACATTTTTAAAATGCGCCTTAAAACCTTTTATACACTTCTCCTTATTAAACGTGTAGTTAATTTAGTAAATGAGTCTTAAAATGTATTTAAAATATAATTTTTATGCTGAGTGTCTGCTGCTGCTGTGTCCTGTACAGCGCTTGGAGATCCCTGATGAAAAGCGCTTTATAAATGTAATTCTAATTATATTGGTGTCCATGATGCCTAAATTGTGACACGGCTCAGCGGTAGTGAGGTCTCCACTTGCCGCAGAGGTTCACGGTTCGTTTCCAGCGGCCGCCCTGATTAATACCGCAGGTCTAATAACCGTTAACAAGATCCTGGGACGTCGTTCACAAGCGAAGGCCATTGTGTGCCAGTGTTGTGGTCCAAATTTTAAACATTTCCTGCCAATTACTCAATTGAAATCGAGAAAGCAATCACCCGCTGTAAAAAATATCTAGAACTTTGCAAGATTACTCTAAGAAAGTCATGAGATTCAGTGAAAGGTTTTGTGGATAAACAAGCACAAATAATAATTGGATAATAATTGTCATAAAGCATTGTTTGAAATATACAGCAGCTAATAATGAAGTGCAGAACATATTGTTTTTTGAAAGGGAATGTAAATATCCTGACAATTATACGAAATTTCAATGTGGAAAAGTCATTGACCATCAAGAAGCACCGATGGCACACGTCTTATGCACTTTGCTGTGTTTTGAAGTTCATAGTGTGCCAATGTACACTATGTGTGAGCACCTTTACCCTGAATTCTAGTTAAATGCGACAATATACCCGCGTGTATCTGACCAAGGGAGCACGTAAATAAGAATGCAGATAAAAGAAATGTGAATTGAACTTCAAGACATTTGCATTCAAGTGGAAATTCATGCAAGGCTGTACACACACGCTTAGGTTTGCACATTTCAGCAATACGTTCTCGGTGGTATTAAATGTTTCATGATCAGACAAGCATAATTACAAGGAAATATCCCTTCTGTCGAAAATCTATTCTTGAGAGTTCGTTTGGAAATTCGGCTTATCTGTCAACAACTCCTTTACCAGCTTACGATTCTTAGTCAATTACATTATATTAAACGGGCATACACTCCTTCCATCAGCAGCTATGCCAACCATTAAGCATTGTAGGGAAATACACGTGTTAAATTGAATGCAACTTTCTAAAACACAATGGCATCACTCCTGTTGTTTTTCTTTCACTGCTTTGTTACAGTGAAAACAGTGATTTTTTTTCCACATCCAGTCCTGCGATCGGCATTGCCTCACGAAACAAAGGAGCCGTTTAGAAATCCTAGAGAGCAGTGTGACCATATCATGGGATCTCGGTGTTTGAACATCTTATCACCTGTTTTATTGCCAGAGAGGGTAAAACATATTCTTATTTTTCATTCAAAAAGGTCCCATGATATAGCTGCTCACCCCGAACCATAAATGCTCTGAAATGTGCATCGTCTTTGTATCGTTCAACTTTTGGTGTTCTCTGGTCTGACACTGGTGAGACTCGGTCCTAAAGAAGGCTGCTGCCTCTGGTGTAGGCCAATCAGTTTCAAAGTCAATGCAGATATTATCAGAGCATGTTGTTTTGCATGTTCCCCACCAAGTACGTGTGGTCAATGCAGACTTGATTCATAGCAAAAGGTTAATATTTGGTGTTTGAACATCTTAACACCTCTTTTATCATCAGAAAGGGTAAAACCTATTCTTATTTTTCATACAGCGTGTTGGCATCATAGAAAGAATGCAGGAGAGGTTTTTCACGAGGAAAACATCTTCCTGTGGTCTTTGTTTTTTTAAATTCTGTACCACAGTAGGAAGGTCACACTTTTTTCATATGCTCTGCTATGCGATAGTCTGTCACGTGACAGTCAAACTAATCATATAAATTTAGTGAAATGCCAGAGCAAAACCCAATTCAATATGACAGGTGTTTTTGTGCGATCATTTTGTGAACGGGCTTGGATCATTAACGCACTGCGGTCGAAACTCAGCTTTAGCATTCAAACCCATAACCTCAGCAACAGAATGTAGCTGCTCAGAGCTCTGACCTCTGAACCACTCTGCCTCCTCCACTGTTATTGTTAAAAAGTGTTATTTCATATCACTGCCCTCACCTAAATGCAATTGGCACTAGCCCACAGGTGTTTACAATCTCCGGGCACAGATGAAGTAAATAACACAATCAATACTTTTTAAAATACTTTTTCTTCTTGTTGCATTTGCTTACGTGCAGTTTGCCGTTCTCCATGTGCTGTGCACGTGGTGTCCACCTGTGCGTTCCCTCGCTATATGTTTCACCCCATTTCCACCTGATGATGAGCGCTTGTGTTGCGTTCGAAACGTCGTGATTTATTTGTATTTTATTTATTAATTTTTTATTTTATTTCTACATGCGTGACTTTACCGGAAAAAAAAACCAATGAGTACACAATCAATGTCTAACGCCTCTCCGAATTATGCCTATTGCCATCCGGGAACCCGCTGAGAGGCACAGTGCTCATTGCGCCTATGCGAGGCAGCATGTGGCACTGTGAAGCCGTCTAAACATGTGCCCCCGATGCTGATGCTTACATACTAATGATGATGACGAGGCGCTCCAATACGCCGCGGCAGGTGCACAGTCGAGAGATGGGGAGGTAACACGTTCCCTGACTGTTGGGTTTTCCTGTCTTGAGGGTAGTGATCACTTTCTTTTCCCTTTCCTCCAAACTTTTTCTTAAGGGAAATGTAAGTGCAAAACAGATTTTCTCACCCCCCCCCCCACCCAAGCAATCATATTCCATACACAGGAAAATGAATTTCACAGTCAGTCTGTCACAACACTTACTTGAGGAATTTTTGCTGTATATGGGGCAAGAATGAGCTTATTTTGAGTAGAATAAATGACAGACTTGTGGTAAATTTCGATTTAAAGCTTTCGTGACTGCAGGGATTCATTTTCTTGGTTCTTTCGGTAAAGTCATGTAGAAGGGAAGTAATAAAATAATAAAAATAAAACATAATAAAATAATTCTCACGACGTTTCGGCCACAACGCAAGCAGCCGTCTTCAGTTGGAGAACAGGTCTGTCAAGTAGACAGAGTCTGACTCAAGTAGACAGAGTCTGACTCAAGTAGACTCAAGTAGACAGAGTCTGACTCTGTCTACTTGACAGACCTGTTCTCCACCTGAAGACGGCTGCTTGCGTTGTGGCCGAAATGTCGTGAGAATTATTTTATTATGTTTTATTTTTATCATTTTATTACTTCCCTTCTACGTGACTTTACCGAAAGAACCAAGAAGAAGACTTGTGGTAGTGGAATTGACCAGTGTTCGTGTTTTGACCTTTGAACTATGTCAAACAACTATGACCACATGTCAGACGCAATGAGTGGCGTGCCACCTTGTGAATAAATCTCTCCATTGTGCTTCGTGTAGTGATGCCATCTGCAGTGCTAAACAAGAGGCTGTATTATGGACAGATCCTTCATCTGTCAGTTATGGGTGAGTTGTCAGTGGTGAGTGTTAGGTGAGTGGTGAATGTCTGAACAGTAGTGTCAGGTGAGTATGTCTGGTTAGGGTCAAGTGTCAGCTATACTGTCATGCCACCTCATTCATACAGCAGGCTAGCCTCTAGTTGATACAATAATACAATGATTACCCTCAAATTAGGGCACCGCGGTGGCTAGATGTTAACTCCCTCGCCTGGTATACAGGAGGTCGTGGGTTTCATCCATACTCTTGACGTCTGCTGTATATTTGGAGTTTGTATGTTCTCCCCATGGTCGCGTGTATTTTTTCTCCGGGTCCTCCGGTTTTTCTCCTCCACATTTAGAAACACGCGTTAAGAGTATTTGGCTGCTATCAAATATCCACGTGACAAGCCACTTCGTTGAGCTATCATTTGCGATCAGGTCGCTTATGAAAAAGCTACATGCTTCGGCGGTCCTTACCTGGTAACAGTAAACGTAGCTTTAATAGTTTCAGCTTCAAATCTTGCGCGATTTTTTTGTACCATAGAATAGCGTAATAATTTTGGCAATGACAGCCCAATATTTCAGCTTGTACGAGTTGGTGTGACGCAAGGCGCTTCGGCCCACATTCGTGTGGATTTTCAATTCTGCGCGTGCACTCCATTGTAGCATAATGGGCGCCGTGCCTCCCTGCAGGTTAGCAGACGTCGGCAGGCATTGACTGAGGGAGGTGTTAGGCTGGGATTGTGTTTTTACCATCTCATTGCCCATGGTTTGTAGACACCTACAGCCTCGTGTCAATTGCTTTCATGTGTGACCATTGATATCGATATACATTTTAACACGTAGGCTTTCGCGACCAATGTTATTCATAATCAACGATTTTTGGGTTTAGATCGCGTTTATTTATAAATGTGTCGTAACCCTCCACCACCCGACACGGCCAATCAGTAAAAAATGTGTCACGTTGACAAAGACAAATAGTTCACTGCTTTAGCCCACCGGTGTGTTGAAGCAACAACATTCACAATTTGAGTACGACGTTTCGCTGGTAATTACAACCAGCATCATCGGGCAATTCGCCAGAATGGTGAGGCTCTCCTGTGTCTCCCGTTCTTATATAGAGCAGCAGCAGGATGACGTCATCATTAACTCATTAACTCATCAGGTGCAAAGATTCAAGGGGGGAGTGATTGTAATTATATACTAGATTAGTAATCAGGCTATTGTTACGATGCGAGTTGTAGATTAGTAATCATTTGGAATGTGTTTTATTGTGATTATGCTACATTAGTAATCTGTTAGTGGTTGTTTCCCTTATAAGTAATTGTAATGTATCTTATTTAATAATACGCTTCCAGGCCGCACTAAGCCTGTAGCTGTCTGAGCGATTAAAGTTATTTCTGTTTCTCTCAATTTCAATCGAGACTAATTAGAGAATCGATTGAAATTGAGAGAAACAGAAATAACTTTAATCGCTCAGACAGCTACAGGCTTAGTGCGGCCTGGAAGCGTATTATTAAATAAGATACATTACAATTACTTATAAGGGAAACAACCACTAACAGATTACTAATGTAGCATAATCACAATAAAACACATTCCAAATGATTACTAATCTACAACTCGCATCGTAACAATAGCCTGATTACTAATCTAGTATATAATTACAATCACTCCCCCCTTGAATCTTTGCACCTGATGAGTTAATGAGTTAATGATGACGTCATCCTGCTGCTGCTCTATATAAGAACGGGAGACACAGGAGAGCCTCACCATTCTGGCGAATTGCCCGATGATGCTGGTTGTAATTACCAGCGAAACGGCGTACTCCAATTGTGAATGTTGTTGCTTCAACACACCGGTGGGCTAAAGCAGTGAACTATTTGTCTTTGTCAACGTGACACATTTTTTACTGATTGGCCGTGTCGGGTGGTGGAGGGTTACGACACATTTATAAATAAACGCGATCTAAACCCAAAAATCGTTGATTATGAATCGATATACATATGTAAAAACAAGTTTTAATAATAATGTGAGTTGAATTCACTTCGTTCACAGTCCTGTTTACTTGCACAGCGCTTGGTGTAAAAGGGTTTGAGAGTTGGGGGTTTATGCCTATATAAATAACCAAGTTTATTCACAACCCTGGAATGACGAACCAATTGCTGACAATTCAGTAGGGACTGAACGGAACGTCTCAGGGATCAGAGTTTCTGACGGAGAGTTGTCGGTGAATAACATACATTTCAAGCACCTTTCTTTTTGCCTGGTGGCAGACCTCATCTAAAAGCCCAACGTAGAAAAGCAGCAGTGCTGATTAACGCGGTTGTGAGATTGGCTGTTCAACTCAGCGGTGAGCGAGAGCTGAAACGACCATCATTGACGCGTGGAACGCCGATACACCACGTGACGATTTCAATTGTTTAGTTGTGTCGCGTGGTCAAACTACATAATATTGGAATAGCAAAATATACGTTTTGTATCAGGGTGGAGTGATTGCACGCAAGTTCATGCACCACGCTCTATAGCCGGTGACCCGAGTTTATTTCCAGCCGTGACTAACTTGAGAGGCGAGTGATATCTAAAATGGACCTGAGCACCCCTCCTTTACTCAAACTGCACTGACCAACGTGGTTGAGTATGGTCAAACAAGTCCCCTGGCGACCAGCAAGATATGGGGAGGCCTTCATCCAACAGTGAATTAATAAAGGGTTGTAAAAACATTAACACTGCTGGATATTGCACGTTCATTGAAACATATACAACTGGTGATTCGCATCTGGATTTTCAGCAATAATTTTTTCACACGTTTTAACTAAATACTCATCGCGGCCACTGTATAACATTATACTTTATACGCATTTGCTCAATGATCACTGAGCAACAGGGTTAATAATAAACTATAGTACCCCATAAATGTAAGCGTTTGATGACGATTTTACGTAAATTTATTGCATAAGAAGCAGTGAAAATTAATAAGATAATTACAATAATTGCTGATGTCCTCACAAATCACTGAAGGCCTAACAAACAATAAATAAACAACAGCCTGTAAATGTCAAGTGCATTTTCCCATTGAACGGCACCCTTTAGAATGTCTACTCTTGCTAATCAGGGCCAATGTGTGCATGTAAATTTAACCAAATGCGCAGTAGTTAATTGTAGAACCATTTAATTAAATAGGATTATTGTCAACACAATATATGGGTGTAAGAATGCTATGTAGGATTAAATGGATTTTGAGATTTTGATAGGATACTTATTTCAGTTATTTGGTGTGCACGTTTGAAATTAATTCAGCCACGTAATTAGTTTCCTTTAATGTTCTCAAGCAGTCAGCTTACTTCTTCTTGCTATGTCTTTCTCACAAAAGCCGTTTATTGTGAAATGTTAAGGTAAATGATGGTCTAGCTCATGGTTAATGGAATGCAACAAGGAAGCGTCACATACAGGAGCGGCCATGCTTGGGTAAGAATCTAAATAGGTAATATTATCCTCCACTTTGTAATTATAGCAAATAGCCGTCTACAGAGAATGGGCTGTGATTTCCAGCATGACCCCATTAGCAAACAACCGGACACTATTGATGGGATTTTAAATTGCAGAGTATTGGGTTACTTCTGTGTGCTAATAGATGGCATTAATGAAGCTCATTTTTTGGTGTGTTTTCTAGAGGAGATTCAAGGGACGTTGGAGAAGAGCGGCTTCTACAAGAAATTCAGCGAAGATGTTATTTTTGCAACCCTCCACGATGCTGTTGCTTCCATCACACCAACAACCACGGTACAGAAAACTGAAATTGCATTGGCATACAGCATTCACCAACCCCAACCCCACGCACACAATACAACAGCGGTAACGTAACCTTATATGTTTACTCTTGAAGAGAAAAAAAACCATGTCCACTTCAAAATAATTGCTGTGCGGATGCACTGCTCATTCAATTATAACATAAACTCATTACATCTGACACACACGTGTGTGTTTTATTTTATTTCATCCATGTCCACACATTGTTTGGTTCGTGCAAGGCACGGTCAAAGATTATTTGGAATGTCTTCCTTTTTTTCCAAATCCATTACGTTTAGGTAGGAGCAAGTTCAACGCTGTATTCATAGGGAAAGGGCATCGTAATATAGAAACATGGTTTGGCCTTATGCTGCAGTAGACGTTTTAAGTAACTGAAACTATTCCACGAATTGTGTAATGTCACTGAAATAATATATTTTTTTAAATATAATGTCCTCTATTTTCATCGCAGACTGAATTTCAAATGTGAGTTCCAAAAAACAATGATCTGCGCTGTGAAGTTGCACGAGGAGGTGCATGCTACGATTATGTTCCTGATTTTCAAATTAACATGAAAAGTCAAAGAAATTAGGCCCTCATTGAAATTTCTGGTAATCCGGAAAAAATGTTTTTCCAAATGTGACGTGCCGTTATCCCCGCGAAAAATTGTTACGTGACTTCAATGTTGCTAAGATTATAAAAACATAAACGTGGTTCCCTTAAATTATATTTTACATTTTATATTTAAAATTATCAAGTGTAGTGCATCAACAATAATTTCTGTATAATCCAGAGTAAGTTACAATGACCTCTGAAAAATACAATATTTCTTGCATTGAATCGACAAACTCGGAATGAAAATGTAACACAAACTCTTTAAGGAAGGAAGAGTAATACATCATTAATAATCAGCGTGTGTAAATTACCCCAAAGCTTGCTTGCGGTAGAACAATATTAACGTACCTTTAAATCTTACAATCATCTTGCGACGTATTTATTTATTTACAATCACGGTCATATGTTTGGAAAATTATATTTCGATTACACATTAAGGGTACCTTTCATTATCAGGTAACACAATGCTGTAATTCTAATCGTGATGCGTTGTTGTATGTCTTTGCCAAGAGGGTAAGTGCATACTGTGAGCAGTTGGTTGTGAGTGTTGTAATTTTCCACATGATTCATTCATGGACCATTGAATTGTTTCTCATTTAATTAACTTCTAAAATAGTACCGCCTGACCCAAAACAAAATTTATTTTATTTTTTAACTGCAAGGAACCAGCACATGATCCCTAAATGTTGTGTGGATTGTAAAACAGGTTAGTAATTTTATTAAAGAGAATATATATTTTAGAAAGGTGATGCTGGATTTGTTTAATCCTTATCTATAAATTATGAGTCTGGGGAAAGTTCATACATTATTATCATTGCAAGCGCAACCTTAAAACTTGCAATTCAATCTTCTTTGATATATTCTGCAACAGATGTGGATTCATTTATACAGGGGGAAAATACGTTTTTAAATTGATTTCACTAATTAATGTATTTTTTTCTTAATGACACAAAAGCAGCCAAGCGTTACACTTTGCATACCAGTTAATTGAATGATATTCGCACTAATTACATTAATATTCATACAGCAGCGTGCAGCACTGGTGTCCTGGCATCATGAAGATGTGACGGTTTTCTAAATGGCCTGTCCATGAAACTGCAGCCAGTGCGACTAGGATTTCAGGTATTGGAGTTGTGTTCGGAGCAAGTGATTTGACATAAAATACATGAACTGTTGATACGAGCTAGAGGTTGATATGTACATCCAGTATAACTGTACGGTGGCTGGGGTTCCGCAGAAATTGTAGGGCTCAGTTATTGGACACGTTTTACAGTCAAAGAACCGTCAACACCCTTAAAATTCCCCTAAAGATGTGTCTGTAAACAAACTCTTTGACATCTTAATTCGACAGATATTAGTGGTGTATGCAACAATGCATGGCTCCAGTACAAGCTGGGCTCAACGTATTAACGTTAACGTTGAGCCCAGCTGAGCCACTGTTCTTGTTGATGGTGGTGTGGTTGTAATTATGGGGCCAGATGTTAAATGAGAATAAAACTGGTCCATGACCCATTGTCATTCAGGGTTTAGCAGTTTATGCAGAAAATCATAATGGTGCAAATATAATTAAATAACATTCAAATAAGATACACCTGTGGGGAAAATACCAGTGTTTGAAGTATGAACTCGCCAGCATGAAATATAATATTCGGCTTGCCTGCTTTTTGCCAAGATATTCATCTTGATAAAATCCTGTTTATGAAATGTTGCATTTATGCATTTCCTTCCTCAGTGCTTAATATGTTGCGTTCTGGTATTACACCAGCACATATATTATTTAAAAGTTATGACAGATAATTCATAAAAGTACAATATTGGATTTTCTACACAATTGTCTTATGTTTCGATTTAAAGCTTTCGTGACTGCAGGGATTCATCTTCTTGGTTCTTTCGGTAAAGTCACGTAGAAGGGAAATAATAAAATAATAAAAATAAAACATAATAAAATAATTCTCACGACGTTTCGGCCACAACGCAAGCAGCCGTCCTCAGGTGAAGAACAGGTCTGTCGGAAAGACAGCGTCTGAATTCAGACGCTGTGGCTGAAACGTCGTGACTTTGCCGAAATAACCAAGAAGATGAATTGTCATATGTTCACCTGAATTGTATTTTGGTCATCGCATATGAATTGAAAATGTTAGCTTTTGAACAGTCAAATATTTTCCCAATGTTCTCTGATATGTAATTAATTATACGTGCTTGTAAGTTTTTTAAACATTCATAAGCATTTAAATCTAAAATTTAAATATGAATGCGCTCTGTTATTCTAATAATAAAAACATCCAATTATGGTATTAAACTGCATTCATAATTATATGCTCAAAAAATATGCTGTGTTGTATTCAAAACACATTGATGGTGGTTTAATATTGTAGGTACTTATTTTTTAATGTAATTTTTCTTCTCAAAAATCAAACCCAATTGTTATTAAAATTACTGTAGTACTATTTGTCAACGCCTATGTTTTTATTGAATGTCATGAGTGCATAACGCGAATCACATTAAATGTAAATGTCCACGTGTGGAAGAAGCTCTCAGTCCTAGGGACTCGTATGTTTATTGCCTCGTTCAACTGTATGTGTCGACCCTGACTAAAATTATCTTCTTTTGCCTTCACAACAAACAAACATCAACAAGACAGCTGGGCAGGGTCGTACAGGATGTGACCTCCACTCATCTTGGGGGTCATTAATGAGTTTTTGGCTGATTCAGGATACATTTCAAACAAGGACTGGAGTGACTTGGGACTTTTTCACCACTCTCCATCTCCTTTCATCTGTCAATTCATGGCGCACGGCTGGCATCAGTGGCAAATGATACCTAGACCAGTCCTGGACCCCCCCCCCCCCTTCTTCACCAAACCACACTGACCAGCGTCGTAAAGGTTGGTTCAACAACGTCCTTCGCCAAAAGCTGTGAGAAGGACTTCAGTAAGCAATAGATTCACAGAGCGTTGTAAATGATAACGTTACGATATGTATTACATGAAGACAATACACACGACATATTGTATCTTAGTTCGCTCTCTCTGTTGGTCTCTGTCAGTCAACAATGAGAGTTCAACCCCGATGAAGCTTGGAGACTGGATGGAGTTCAAAATAACTCACACACTAACACCTTGTTGATTTGAAGCTTTCGTGACTGCAGGAATTATTACACTGAAGACAATACACACGTGACTTCACCGAAAGAACCAAAGAGTAATAACACCTTGTTGTGAAAGACCCGCGACGCTCACGGTCCACCCTAAACCGCATCCACTGCACAACTCATGGCAGATGCGGATACCTGATGATGCACAATAGAAAATTTTAAAAAAATCTCTCCAGTGTGCGACTGTGGTCATCCAGAATAGACCGTACAACAAATAACGACGCAATACTCAATCCACAAATACAAAGGAGACATCATCACAGCGATGCACTCTGACTCCTGACGCGGTTATTATCTGGCTTGACCACCCGAATGTGAAATTGTTGTTGTTGTTGTTGCGCTGCCTCTACATCAGCAGCCGTACGAAATAAGAAGACGTCTACGTCCACCTGCCTCTGTCTGTCTGTCTGTCTCTCTCTCATTCTCTCCAACTTTATCCCACTCTCCCTCTCCTTGCATCTGTCTCTGTGTGTATCATTATGTATCTATCTGTCCTCCCTGCACTCTGTGGCTCAGCCTCCCTGTCTCCCTCTGTTTCTATGCCCTGGTGACAGTTGGGATAATTATTTACGTAATTATTGGTTATTGAATAATTAACATCAAGTGATTGCTTAAGTAATGTTAATCGTTTTCGTTAACAATTAATATGGTTCGAGCTTCCAGATGTGGGATGTCAATTGTAGGGGTCTATACTGACGTACATTAATACTCTCTAAAAAATGCCCTCAGTTCACAGGATCAGGGAATTTATTTTTACCATTTCAGCACATTTGTAAAACGTTGAATGCAGCATGTACTTTATCAATACGTTTAAGTTAGAATAACATAATTTGTAATACAGTATACCAAAACAGCACTTTGTTTTCGTTAATATATATACATATATCATCAAGTTCATTTTCACGATAAAAGTAATAAGTTTTCAAGGCATTTAAATCAGAAATTAAGCATTTTCTGAAACACCGCGTTTCTAAAAGAAGGCTATTGAACTATAATTTATTAGTTGTCAACATAGTTGCATACGTTGTGAGGTCAAGTTATGAATAAATTCAGAATACTAAATTCAAGATCAAGATCTCGGAAGTTACACCCACTTCCTGGATTGTTTTTTTTTTCACTTCCTTGAGCGTGTCCTGATGATGCTTGATGTAGTTTCAAGTGAAACGTCGTATTGAATCGTAACATATTGGTTGTGAGAAATGCTATTTCACTCATGGTGAGCTGAAATAACTGGCAAAATTAAACACTTGTCTACAGTAATGCTTTAACTTGATCGGCTATGTTGGGTGGTGGAGGGTCATAACGACACACATTTGGCCGGATCATTGCATGGCCTGGCCCAAAAATAAAATATTAATCGGCAAACTATTTTCTTCAATTATTTTGAGGGTCCCCATATTTATATATGTTATTTTATTCCAGATTGTCGTCTGATTAAACATTTTGGATTTAGATACAACAGTTTTCCTCGGCCTGGGTTAAAAACAGTTCAATAAAATATAAGCTCATTATGGGACGCCAACATTTTAAATGATTAATTTTAGGATTTTTATCAGTATGAACATAGACTTGACTATTGTTATCTATTTATATATTTTATTTGTCGATCCCATCAATTACAATATAGCTTGCATTAGTCGCCAATGATCACATATATATTGGATGACTCATGTCTGTTTATATCAGGACTTTTCTATGATGTGGACCAGGATCTCCACAGCTAAATTAGTACAATTTTGATGAGGTGTTCATTTAAATATCTTCACTGAAATTCATCCAACATCCCCTTTTTATTTACGGCCGCTTTTAACACATTATTGATATTATTGTGAGCTCCCAACGCATCTATATGATGTTGCTTTTGTTGTCCAAAGCAGTGCTTCAGCTTTTGATAGCAGATGTCATTGTTTTATGCAAAGTATATTGGAGGACATTGTGTGCCAAACTCTTAGCCCATGTTCTGAATATCACACAGCCGAGCAGACGTTCACCATTTATATGTGGCTGAAGTGTGTTCAGACCTCGTCATAGCAGGCCCCATATTAAAATGACAATAGTGATTTAAAAAAAAGTATAAATAATGCATAAAAACCTAAACCCGCTATGTTTCACTTAGAGCCAAAGCCTCTGCAGATTGGAGGCTGATGAAGACGAACAGGAAAAGCTGCTGTGTTCCTATACTGACGGGTACTTATTTTATGAATGTCAATTAGGGTGGCATGTTTACAGATTTTGAGGCAAACTTTCATCTTAAATCAGAAGGATTTGACTTACCTTTGAGAAACATGCTGTCATATGGGACATAACATGCATATTCACCATGGCAAAAGGTTATCTTAACCAAAATACGGATTGCCAACTGGGGACAGGCAGTATCCAGATTGTTGTATATTTATGGGCACATTGAGGCCTGCTGCTCTTATCCATCACCCCGCATCATGTACGTATCAATACATTTACAAGTGAACAGAGAGACCACTTTGTGGGATGAACACATTTGCATAAGAGCGAGTGAATCCCACGTGTTGTGTTGAACTTTTGAAGGTCAATTCTGCATTAATTTTAGATGCATAAATTGCAGTGTTTCTCTGCACAGCTGCCATGTATGTCGGGTAGACAACAACACGAGGGCTGCCTTTACAAGCAAAGCATTTTATAGCCAATGGCAGTTGAATCAGGCATCACCACCGCTCAGCGCATGGCACTGAGTGTGGGAGGCGCGGTAGTGCTGTGAGTAGGGTGAGGGCCAACAACCTTTCCAATTGTCCTCACTGATGCTGAGAACTAAACGTAGATGCAACGTGGCCAGGCCTCTGTGACTGCCATACCAATGCGCGTCACACTGCGCAGACTACTAGGGAGAAGGTGCGTGTTTGTATATATCGCACAGGGCCTCAGGGTCGCTGGCTTACAAATTACCATTAGTATTATCCTTAACAGCACAAGAGCCAGAGCAGTCTGTTTTTTATTTATTTTACCAGGTAAGGCCCACTGAACTATGTAGCTTTTTCATACGCGACCTGGCCACAAATGATAACTCAACGAAGTGGCTCTTCACGTGGAAATGTATAGCAGCCAAATACTCTAAACGTATGTTTCTAAATGTGGAGGAAAAAAAACGGAGGAACCTGGAGAAAAATTCCCGCGACAACGGGGAGTACATGCAAACTCTAAATATACAGGCATCAGGGTCAGGATTGAACCCACGACCTCCTGTATACCAGGTGAGGCAGTTAACATCTCGCCACTGGGGCACCCTAATACAGGCTACATGGGGGTGGGGGGTGTCATCCTTCCACTGTTTTCTCTTCAGCATAACTCCACTAATTGCCTGATTTTCATCACTATGAATCTCCCACCCATCCCTTAACTCATCCCAACCACAATGACATGCGATGTCACATTTACATCACGTGAAGCATGTATGCTGTCATTGATGTGTGATTTATATATGTGTGGCTTTGAGGCCACATAGAGTAACGGGAATATGTATTGTCTTGGTAAGAATAATAAAAAGGGTAAAACGTAGCTTGTTTAACCACCGAAATGAATGACATATAATCAGTAGACCAAGCAGAATTTCCATATCAATGTATTATGGAAATCTACAATGGAGGAGGAATACCAAAGCTACATGAACTGTCTCCTGAAGCCCACTCGTGGCTAACAAACTTCGGACGTACGTAGGCAAGAATCAAATTTAGGAAGCATTTTTGGTTCTTTGGGTAAAGTCACGTAGATATAATTTATTTATTTTTTCTATCTACGTGACTTTACCGAAAGAACCAAAGAAGATGAATTCCTGCAGTCGCGAAAGTTTTAAGTCAAAATTTAGGAAGCATTTGTTTAAATGGGTCAAATTCTCCATTCATTGGCTTGGGCTTCATCAAGTCTCGTGCGCAGGGCGTGCTCTGATAAATGCATTCATCGGAAGTTCCCACTTGATTCATGTAAGCCATCCAAGAACACCACGCACCAAATATGAAGCCTGCTCATCTGATAACTGTATTGACCTAATTGTCAGATGCCACAGCCTGTAACTATTTTGATCGCTTGATTCTGTATTGGTAGAAATGTAACTGGAATATGACCTGGGGATTCTTAAAACCGAAGGATATTGAAAGATTCAATAGGACAGGGAGACATTTTTTCTTACAAAGCTGGTGCTGATCAAATGTGATTTAAAAATGCAAATATACCAGAAAGCAAATTATATTTAAAAGGCTTAGATTTGTAGGTCTTGATTCATTTTATCATAATAAAGACCACGAATCATAATGCTGGTTTGTGCTGATTATTTCTCGTACAGTTACGTAGGTTATTGCATTTTGAAAATGCAAATGTGTCAGGTTTACGATATCTGAATTTCAATCAAAGTAACCAGTGTAGCATGTTGACGGACATTCAGAGAAGATACATCTTCAGCAGTGCATATCTGCAAGGTTTCAAAAGGTCAATCTTTTCATTTCATGCACTAAACCAACCCATCTGCTGAGAACCTTAAAATTTCCATTTTTTTCTCATGATCCATCCGTTACACTTTGCATTACTCAGAAGAGTGTTTTAGCTGTGATTGCTTTGCCATCTGTTGAGTCAGGAGAAACTCTTTAACATTCCGTGATTGCACGGTAAATATTCAAGCTTCCTGGTGTGTGGGTAGTGAGTGCCCAGCTCTTCCGTGAGGAATGCTCAGATGTTTTATCAAACCATGCAGAATAAAGAAAAAAAACACGAACACACATTTCTTGATTTTTTTTACTAACAGTTTTTTTATGTAACAGTTACAGGTTACAAATACAGTATGCAGCATCTCATAATGATCAGCCTATACAGTACCTAATGATGAAGACATGAAAAACAATGTTCATTTGGTACAGCACAGAAAGCTGTTTAGCAGACTATCATGAACAAGCAAAGCTTTATTGCTAAACAAGCATCTCTATGCTAGTCCAGAAAGCAGCATTTGATGACTACACCATACCATTATTTGCACTTTGTGCACGCAAGAAATAAAGCGCCGTCCTAGCATGCCTTACGAGTCCTCGCCATCAGCGGTAATCGCGAAGATTACGTTCAATCGGTCGCGTCGAGTGGACGTTCCCCTCCCGTTTGTCATACTGAAATATGTCCCAAGGCATTTACATTGCGAAAAATCATCAAAGACCTACTGTTGGAGAACCCGCCGTCGATGCCTTCTTTGGTGGTCAGGCATTTTTAAAGGATGCTGTCTAAAATATGTTTTTTTTCAGTTTTCGTACGACATATACCGTGCATTGTTTCATTTTATTACGCTATTGTGTGCGAGCTGTCCACTGAATGGCACATAATGTAATTGTCCTTCGTTACGTATGGATAAACGACGCGCACTTTTTTATAGTGGGGGTATTTTATTACTGGCCATAAAATGCAATGGCATGCATTTTATTGCTATTTCTTAGTGTAGGCAGGGATACCGGTAAGAGTAAGGCAGTAAAAATGAAACTTTCATCCGATATTTTCAGGTCGCTATCCAATTGGGGATGTGGGGGAAAGGTGATGGGATAACAGATAGTGGGTGCTGGTATTATATGAAGCCTTACGTCTTGCACCACACGTCAACTTCACAAGGGCATGTATTAAAAAAAGGTTATATAAAAATATAACATTTTACCATAGTAGGGAATAGAGCTGGTTAAAAAAATGATTTGGTGTCACATGGGGGTGTATCCCACAAATGAGAAAGATCGGCTTGAATAGCTCATTTAAATAAAATGTTAAATAACGGTATCTTTAAAACAATATCCATGGATAGATTTTTTTTCAATGAATACAAAAATAAAATTTAAATATCAAAAAATAAAATAACACAGGTTTATCAATGACTGTTGTCTCACGTTAAGTCAAATGCAGTCTTTTGAATTGCTTATGACAGGGCCCTCAAGTCAAAATAAAAGCATTTCCCTTGCTCGACGGAGGTACAAGGCAGCACTCAACTCTAGTGAAGGCCCTCAGCCAACAGTGGGAACTTCACATCCCTTGGCAAGGACGAATCTCTCGAAAACAAGACAGCCACTGTTGACGACCCAGGTGGGACTCGGGTTATTCATCTGAATGAGATGATGTGCCGAATTGGCGTCGACTAGGGAGGCGATTTTCATGGCCTTGCGTGATTGCCAATCGAGTATACTCTTTGGTTCTTTCGGTAAAGTCACTTCAGCAATTGTTTATTGCTGTGGTTGTCCCACCTGATGACGGGCGCTTGTGTTGCGCCCGAAACGTCGTGATTTAATTTATTTTATACCTACGTGACTTTACCGAAAGAACCAAAGAGTATGGATCCCTGCAGTCACGAAAACTTCAAAACTATATTGCCAGTCGAGTCTTTAAAATGCGGAAAGCGATCACTCGATCATGCAAGAAGTAGCTATCTTGTCACTTGCCCTTTTCATTTTCAACAAGAGTGGGTGCTTTCTGGCGCACAAAAACTACGTCTCTTGTACGGTACAAGTCATAGAAAAGGGGTGTGTGCATGCACAATTGTTTTAAGAAGGCGTCAGGCGAGAGATGCCCAGGCAGTGGTGGATATTAAAGTAATGTTTACAGTTGTTTGATGAAAAGGAGGGTGATTGGGGGGGAAAACTGACGCATTCAAACAAAATCTCAGAGCGAAGGGGGAAACGAATTGTATAAAAAAAAATCAGCATTTGCCACAATATGAACACCACATTACTGCTGCATCATCTTTTTGCCCTTTCCCCGACGCTGAACGTTTGAAATGCAGAACTGCATGTGGCGGCAGGCGACCACCACGGCCACGATCAAAAACACATTTTGGCAAAACGTAGAACTCCTCAACGCTCGCATGTACACAACTTGTGAAACAAAAACAAGAATCACTACAGCGGTACTACTGGATATTAAATAAACAATAATCGTCATTAATACAAATACTTGTACATGAGCTGGATGTAGATCCCGCTTCGTGTTGCCAAGAGAAACATTTAAATTATTTTGAGATGTGCAGCTGCAACCCAGTTCCTGCTCAGTGCTATTCTTTTTTTTAAACGAGAAAAAAACACAGATTTGGCCTACCAGCAAAAACACATGGATAAACATTGATCATGGGAACACATTCCACAGTTGAAGGTCAGAGGTGTTAAGTATTCTTTCAGTTTATATAAAATGATGACTGGTATTTCTGTACTCATCTAGAAACATTGTAAACAATATATCTCGAGCATCACTAAAGCATTGTTGATGAGCCTAATTTGGTAAGCGTACGAATCTCTTACAGGTTTAGTCTTGCGTTTAAAATTATTCTGATGTTTGACCCGTTGTATATTAGCTTCATCTCCCCAACCGTTTGACTACATTTGGTTAAAAAAAATATTACACAAGGGAGACACACACGGATTTGCTTATTCACATAGAGCAGAGAGACGAGACACACGGAGTTATCATGCACGTGCCAACATTCCACATGGTGAATTTAAGAGGCATTACTTTGTCCAGTGGTAACTAATTTAATACGTATGCTTATTTTACAAGACTTGGGTATTTGCTGCCATAATAGTTATAACAAAGAAAGAGATATAGAAAAAAAATGGAAAAGGGCACTTGTAGAAATTATGCAAGTAAAACAAAATAAAAATGCCCAAAAATATATATTTAATATAAAACATTAAAGCAATATATCTACAAAGTGCAGTATTCGATAATTGGACACCTGCCATAAAGAGATATACACATATATATTTGTAATCTTGCTCTCTCTTTTATACTCTCAAAGTACACGTTTATAGTGGATTAAATCTGAATACGGTTCATTAAGGCAGAAACAGAAAACACCGACTAGGCAGCGCTGACGAAGCATGGTGGGGTGGGGGGGGGGGGGTTAAGCAGCGTGAAGAGATGGCAGCGCCAGCACTTTGTGATGCTCTCCACGAGAGCATGGGACAGGGCTGCGGTAAATCCAGCAGAGACACATCAGTTGCACTTACAAGGCTTCGCACGACCGTGGATATGTATTCACTCACTCGCTCGCTCGCTTCTCCTTTCGTTGCCGTTCCCTATTGTCGCTAAATTGCTCTTGGAAATCCAAACACATTAATGAGTGCAATAATTTGTTTTCGTTTGAAACGTAATGCGTGGTAATTTTTTGTTTGTTTTGTTTGTTTGTAAGACTTTAAAAGGATCTCGGCACACAAATGCGGTATTTGTCTCCCTTGGATAAATTCAACCGACAGCGTCGGGCCCCCCCTCCCCCCGATCCTCGCCCTACTCGTAACATCGGCGTGCTGGCACATCGGCTACGCCTGGGTGGCCTGCTTGTACTGCCCGTTGGTTTTACTCGAGAGCTTCACTCCGTTGTAGAGCTCAAAGTTGTAGCCGTCCAGTGGCGTGGGCCCGTTGCCAATGGTGTGCAGCGCGGTGGTGGAGGAGACGGGGCGGGCGCGCGAACACACGCAGTAGAGCAGCAGCGACGCGCACACCATGCCCATCACGATGCCGAGCGCGCTGATGGTGATGATGGTGATGAGCATCGGGTCTAATGCCTGGCCGAGGCTTGGCACGGTGGCGGTGACCCTTGTGCTGTCCTTGCTCAGGCTCTTGCCTCCTCCTGGCCCTGACTCTGGCATCCATGGTCTTGAATCTACGGTTTGAACAATAAGCACAAAGTACAGTATTAATGGTTGCAATGCTGTTTGTGGATTGAAATGAAGGTGAATCTTACAATGCATACGAGTTGCACAGTATTTCGGAAATGTAAGGGTATTTCAGCGAGTAAAGTGAATGGTAATGCTTATGTATGATTTTGGGAAATATTGCACAGTGAATGGGATGTGACCCGCATGTTCATGCGCAATTTTCTTAAGATCAATGTGCTTGCCACGAAATGACACCTCATTGGAGCGGTGAACTCTTGCTCATATACAGCTAAAGTTATTCAAACATGTATAATATAGGTTTTTTGGGTTAAATTGCTTAAATATAGAAATGTGTCGTTAAACCCGCCACCACCCGACACAGCCAATAAGTAAGGGTTGTCACGAAATTTACGCGATCTAACCCAAAAAAAACCCTGTATTATGGATGATATTGGTTGCGAAAGCCTACGTGTTAAACTGTTCATCAAACAATTGGAGCTGCAATGTGGTTATATCTGCAATAATCACAGCAGTCACGTATGGGTGGTATAGCTGATTGGGGCAAAACATGCATTGCCTTCACTCTAGCTGTGAAGCTTTAAGAAACATCAATAATTTTTGCCCTGGGGGTCTTCTGTTAACTTTTCTGTTAGGCAGAATACACATAAATTTCGATTTAAAGCTTTCGTGACTGCAGGGATTCATCTTCTTGGTTCTTTCGGTAAAGTCACGTAGAAGGGAAGTGAGAATTATATTATATTATTTTATTCTTTTATTGTGTTTTATTTTTATTATTTTATTACTTCCCTTCTACGTGACTTTACCGAAAGAACCAAGAAGAAGAATACACATACTTTGAGAACTTAAAACGCCATGGTTTATTGAACGGACTGTTCCCAAATGTATCCTTACGTCCATTTATATTCGATTAATTAAAATAAACCTCTCAACAGGAGCAACTGGTCTGACACATCTGCGACCATCGCAAATATTGTCATGTGCTGATGCAGCCGCTCCACTCGTTTGTAAACATTGCCTGTCGCAGTTTACACCGTTGTTATTCACATTTCAGCTTAATTTGGAAAGAATACCCTCAGAGGATAACTTTTAAAGACAATGAAACCTCAATCTTAAAGTCCGTCAGGGGACCAGAAAAATGAACAATAGTTCTGGGAAATGTGTTGGCACGGGAAATGTTGTTTCCTGCCATCAAAAGCGAGGATGCTCCCGCTGTCTGTCTCCCACTCTTGCTTCTCTCTCTCTCACTCTCACCGGCCTATCTGATGCTGTATCGCCCTCCCGTTCAAGCCTCTCGCTCATCTGTACGTCTCTCACGCCGCGTACGCATCTATCGCTCGATGGATCTCTCCCACGCCGTGCCGAGCCTCCACTCTGCCCACGTCGCACATCTCCTGCGCTGTGCCTCTGCCCGCTTCTCTCACTTTACACGTCTCCCTCCACGCAAGACGTGCATCTCCCACCTTTGTGTGCACGGAGGCATCTCCCACGGAGGCATCTCCCCAGCTCTCCACGCCTCTCACGGCACTATTCCTTTCTGATCTCGTCAAGGAGCATAAACCATCACACGAACTCCGGTCATCCTTGTGGATAGCCATAGAACAAAGACGGCCACTTCAATTCATCGTGCGCTTCCGCGGCTATCTGGAACGTTCTACCTTCTGATATTAGGAAGCCACCGGAGCTATGCACTTTTAAATGATCTGGATTGAAAACTCTTGTCTATCGAACTGTCGTTTGTGTTTAGTTTGTTGTCCTTCCCTCGCACCTCCGATTAGCACGGTTGGCTACGTACGGTGTGAAGGAAGTTCAACATACATACATACATAGATTCACACAGAGACCCATAGATTCACACAGAGACCCATAGACGCACAAAGAGCCCCACAGTTTGTAGTCCATCCCCTACACCTCTAACGAGCTTGGTTGGCTACGTACAGTGCAACAAAATGTCCACATACATAAATACTCCATGCATCTCCCACCTATCTCACACCTCTCTCCACACATCTCCCCCTCTTCATGAATATTCCATCTCTTACTCCATGCATCTCCAGACATAGGTGATGGAATTATTCATGCCTTTTGTTATTAAGTTAAACACGTGATTGTGAATTGTATAAATAAAGGCGGAAATATTTCAAATACTATGTATTGCCATATTTCCACCACGTGAGATGTTCTATTGGAGGGTCGCCGTTATGTTTGCATAGAGTGAAATGAAAAATGTTAATGGTCGAATTACGTCGCTATAAGTGCGCTGAGCAAAAAAATTAGCGATACGGAAGAAAAAAAATCACTCCCGCATTGCGACAATGTAGATTGTAATGAGAATATGTTTAATATGTTTTAGTCGTAAGTGAAGTTGATGAGAAACGTGGATATTTGAGAGAACGTCCGGAACAACGTGAGGATTGCACGTTGAGAATTCCTGCTGATAGTGGGGCGGCGGTGGCGGCGGCGGTGGGGTTGAGTGCATTATTTAGTTTTGCTAAATTGCCTAGTTTCCAGTTGAGTGTGACAGCCATTGGTCAGCGGGGAGAGAGCGCGACCTCAGCCCGTGGGGAAGGAGTCTGGTCTATCTGTTTGGCGATTATTTATTACCTGCGCCGGATGGCGGGAGATAAAAGGTGACTGGGAGAATGAATGTTAGAAGAAGAAAAACATTCCCCCACCCTTTCCATCTGGCGTCCATTAGCCGCCGCTTGGTATGGGTAATAAATAAAACGCAGACAACGCAGCGTTGCCTTCTCAAAGCAGACTCGTGCATTACCAGCGCCGGTCTAATTTAAACATTCACGTGGCAAGCGCTGGGAGGTGCTAAGGGGCCATCCATTGAGTAGGCACGCAAAAATCTGTAAAAACTGGACCCCTCCCCCCTTCCCTGTACGCACGCGGACTTTTTACAACTCCCACCCCCCCCATCTGCGTACGTACGCCTGACACATCCCTCCCTACTCCCCCAGAATCCTATAGAACGGCCGATATTTAATCCACGCAGAAACGATCAAGGATCAATTAATCAACAGATAGTCCACCGCCGGACTATCTAACTAATTTGAAGGCCAATGTAGACCAATCATTATTATCGAGGCTTCACCCCCCCCCCCCGTTTCCTATGCGTACGCACATTGTCAGTAGACCCCCCCCATACGCAAGCGTACGCATTTGGGTTAACCCCCCCTCCCCCCTCCATGCGTACGCACTAAATGGATGGCCCCTAGCGAACTGGAGCTCCCACAATTTCAAGTGCGCCCCCCCCCCGCCCTGAGAAGTAGTGGGGGAATCCATAACGGCAACATTGAAGGGCTCGTAGTGTGAGACCCTTTCTGCTTTGAAGCCGTTTGTCATCGTCAACATTGTGTGGCGGTAATCATTCAAGGCTACGTATTTTGAATTGGCTACTGGTCATTAATTTGTTGCTGTAAATACGCATTTTATGACCGAATCGCCATGCACGCGCCCGATCTCGTCACATCTCGGATGCTAAGCAGGCCACAGCCTGGATAGTGCTTTTTGAATGAGCGACCACCACTCACAGAATGGGTGTCATAGCCTGCGTCGAGACCATGTCGTCAGCAGACAGCAGCGCAGGACATCTGCTGTGCTACTTCTACTCCGCACCAACGTCTTTGCGTCCCACCTTCACCAGCCCGCAATGGCCAGCGTGCTCAAGTATGGTCAGATTCACCTTCACGACCCCGTGGCGTGGGAAAGGCGCTCATCCCGCAGTCGAATGGCACGAGGGCCGTGTACTAGGGCTGAACGATTTGGAGAAAATATCTAATTGCGATTTTTCTGACATTGCGATTTGATTTGCGATAAAAAAAAGTCAAGCTTCAGTTCAATATTAACAGTGTAATTGATTTAAAACATGTGATGGAGCATTACCACATGATACCATCAAAATATGAACTGCTCTATATATTCTAATGCAAGGATGAGAACTTAAAATATATGAATTGCTTCCAACATGTATCTATTAAAATGTTTTAATTGAAATAGAACAATCAAACATAGAACATAAATAAAGTTATAATAATAAAAATAAACCAATTCCAATAAGTAAGAGGACTTTTCAAATCTCAAAAAACCGCAGCTTTTGCGATTTGCTAATCGCATTGTTTCAAATTTCGATTTGAAATCGATTAATCGTTCAGGCCTACCGTGCACACCACGTGCATGTACGTCATAATGATAGTGACGCTGCTCTGCAGTGGGCTTACTTGGCATTCTGGGAAACCAGTGCCGAGGTTAACCTCATACAGTCTACGGTTTGGGCGCATTTGGATCTAAATCTAAAATACATTACTTTAGAACCGATGCAGTTTCGCGTTAGAGTTTCGTTGTCTCTTTAACCGCGCCTCCGATTTGCACGGTTGGCTACGTACGGTGCTGAAGAAGTTCAACGTACATCCATGCCCATGCGACTGCAGCGCAGCTCATTCTCAGGACCGCACAAACCGCGGCACTCGTGTGCTCTACGAAGCGCGTGAGGGCTTCACCGTGCTGCCGTTGCTTCGGCGAAGGGAAAATGATCGACATTTTCTCGAAATCCACTTCGCAATCCGGCGACAACTGATACTCAAAACTCCTGAGTGGTGTGACTCATAAACGAAGGGCTGTTAATTTGTTACGGAAGAGGTGCAATTCTGGATAACAGTAGATGTTTGCCAAATTACGTTTATAATATATCACCGAAGCAGAATTCCAGCGTGCTATTGGAGGAGTTGAAATAATGTGGCAAGTCTCCACTAATCTTGGTAAAATTGTTTGAAAATGAGCTCCGCGTCTTCAGAGTCATGATAAATGCATCGAGGGCTGCTTAATTAGCTGATGTAGAGCCAATAAAGCGACGGTGGCCCATAAAGGCTGTTTCACACGTCTAATTAACTATTTAAACCCTGCAGCCTAAGCACCTTTGGCTGCACACATAAACAGAAAATCATTTATGTAGCCGTGCAGTGCTGCTTGTTTTTATTAAGGCTGGAATATTTGAACTCGATCACCGGCCAAAGCTAAAGCCAAATGTCTAAGAAGCTTGTTTTCAAAAGCTCTGGAAGAGTCAAGAATGTTTAGACATTCTCATGACATGTGGTTAATGCATTCTTTAAATGCAATGATCTTTTGTAAACATATACAAAAAGTCAGTGTTCTCCATGCTTGTTTGACACTTAACTCCAGTGGCAGCTATAGGTTTTGTGGATACAATATATTATTGGGCTTGGGAAGAGACAGCGAACCTTTTGAAGATACTCCTTTAACAGAGCTGCAGGTATCTCTGAAGAGTGCATGGTTCAATAAAATAAATTATCCCAACTGATCCTCTCCGTGATTCTGGAGATCCAATCCACATCAGTTTTTAGATCCAATCCTGGGCGATTGAAATTGGATTTCAGTGATTGCGTATCGGAGAACTCTTATCCGCGGTTATGGGGGGGGGGGGGGGGCGCACGGACCAATATTGCAGCTCCTATTATCTGTGGGGTTATCCACGCTTCTACTTTTCTCCATTGGGTACAAAAATGTGTGCATAACCAGTGAATAACTCGTGCATATTTTCCCAAGTGACAACTTGATTTGATTGGCTGTTGGAAGGCAGATGCTTAGTTAAAATTTGACATTACTGTAGACCTACATGATCTCACCCCCAAAAATGTTAAATCATGATTCATATTAGTCGCGAAAGTCTACGAGTGTACATTTATAATATTGTGATGCTAATAGGGACTTGCCATCGAGAAAACAGGACATATCGATCAAAGGATTGGCCAAAACTTGGCAATAACGAATAAACCTTCTAGACCAATGTGATGACGTCACATGGTATCCTAATGTGATGCAATTTTGTAACATCAATGTCATAATTACGCGTGGTATTGTTATTACTAAGAATTAAATACTAACGAGGACAAACATTTTGAAACGCGTTACAAACTCTTTCTTGTTCTCGTTTATATTGCTGATTTGTAAATTTCGCTTTGTTTTCGATTTATTAGCAGAGATGTAACCTGAGTATGTAATAATACTACTCTATGGGGACCTCATTTGCCAGTAAAAATATGATAATTGGTTCTTTACCCTTCTATCTGGCAACAAAACTGACACCTTTTTGCAAGGAGTCATGTTTGCATAGACCGCAATACCTGCAGTCATAAATACAAACAAAAGACATAACTCTGATAATGTGCACTGTCCTTGAAGTTGATTGGTCCACACCCGAGACAGCTTTCCTTCGAGCCTAGTCTCATATGGGTTGGACCAGATGACGCCAAAAGGCGCACAACTCAAGGACAATGCACCATCAGAGTATGAGAGCTCGGGGCAAGCATCTACACTATGGGGACCTCATTTGCCAGTAAAAATATGATAATTGCTTGCCCCGAGCTCTCATACTCTGATGGTGCATTGTCCTTGAGTTGTGCGCCTTTTGGCGTCATCTGGTCCAACCCATATGAGACTAGGCTCGAAGGAAAGCTGTCTCGGGTGTGGACCAATCAACTTCAAGGACAGTGCACATTATCAGAGTTATGTCTTTTGTTTGTATTTATGACTGCAGGTATTGCGGTCTATGCAAACATGACTCCTTGCAAAAAGGTGTCAGTTTTGTTGCCAGATAGAAGGGTAAAGAACCAATTATCATATGTAATAATAGTTCGTAAATTAATTCTACAGTAGACTTTTGCCTGATGACGACCGCTTGTGTTGCGATGGAAACGTGGTGATTTGTTTTATTTGATTGTATTTCTAGCTACGTGACTTTACCGAATGAACCAAAGCGTAAGTAGTCACGGTGTCTCATCTGATCAATATAGATAGAACAGGATGAACTGAAACACAAGACAAAATGCCTTCGACTCGCACAAGTTTAACTGATCTGAAATCTCCCGGCACTCATTTTTCATCCTGATACAGGCATCAGTCCAGATGGTCACATCTGGGTTTCCACAGTCCCAATGGAATTTCACTCAAATTGGGTTTTTTTCTTTCTTCTGAAAATAGGTTTGAGGTGTTTAATTAGGTTTGTGAATTTACATCTCGGTTTTTATATGCTTGTAGTAATACAAACATTTAATAATACATTGCATCCATTTCGGCACTGTGTATGTTAGCTGTTTTTCTTATGGATATAAAGCATGAGGTTAACCTCGAGCATTTATGTCAGTTCATATTTCCTCCCCGCTGTCTTTGCTTTAGAGGTCACGGAGCATATTCTAAATCTAATAACGAAGAAAATCCTCGAACTCGACAAATGTGCAATTGGAGATTTGCAATTGGAGATTTTGAAACGTTCATTTCAGCTTTGATCAAAAACAAATGTGCAACGTAATAATACATGCCACAATATTAAATTAAGTAAATATACGTTAATACTGTGTTGCTTAGCACGATATCACATTAATGTAGGGATATATTTTAAGTATTTCGTTTTCTTAATCGACATTTTTGGACACGTTTCAACAAACCAATGCCATTTCATGAGGCGTGTAATTTAGAGATAAATGTCGTATAAATTGTTCGGAAATATTATACGTGATATTTGTTTTGCTCATGTTAATCTTGAGCCCAACTTTGCATTCATGTTTACTAAGCTCTTAAATCAATTCCCATCAAGCATTTCTATTTGCTCTCATAATGGCAAATGTCTTCAACAAGTCTGAGGCAGTTGACATTGTCTTTCCATTTACATGCATGCCCTTATCTCTCCAATTTCAGAAACGTCTTCTGATGTCATGCAGACAATTTTGATGTAAGCACGTTGCTCTTTGTACGAATCGTCATGTGCTTCGATACTTTCTGCATGCGATCCAAGTGTAGCTGTTCCATTTTTGTTAAATTGTCCACCAGAGTCACGGACAAAAAGTTTGTTAAACAACGTCAGATGGACACGACTGGAAAACACGTAAGAATCATTGTATAGCCAGGGCAGTTCTAGAAGGTGGTCCGAAATTACAGTTCTTATGTAAAGAGGTGGATTAATTTTGTAAAAAACTGTAATGAAAATGGACGTGCCGATGTGCCTCAAGAATTATTTTTTGAAATCAGTGTATATTAATATCCCCACTGTGACATATGGATTACAAACATTAAACATGACGAATTAAAAACTGGAGCTAAAAAAACGTGCAAAGCATCGAAAGGTGCATGCGTGGAATTACAGTGAGAACAACGGAGGAACACGTGGATTGAATAACATGCATTAAAACTCATTTGCAGGAACATGATGAATCACAAGGCCATGAGAGATGGCAGCTTATGGAGGCCTTCATCCAACAGTGCATATAATATGGTTAATAATGGCAATGACTTCGTAAAATCGCTATTTAATTGTAAAAAAAAAAATCCTTAAGTTTAAACGCTATTATTTTATATCCATTTCCTTTAACTTTTAATGCATTACACTTCGTGCAAAAGTTACATCATTAACTTATTTCATGTTTGGAACTTGTACAGTAAAGGAATATTTATCTAAAGCAGATAGGGTATCTACATCATGGAATCTCCTTTGGCGTCCTCTAGTCTAACACCGTTTGAGACGAGGCTCAAAAGAAAGCTGTCTCTGGTGTGGACCAATCAGTTTCAAGGACAATGCATATATTATCAGAGTATGTTTTTTGTTTGTATTCTGACCACAAGTATTGTAGTTAATGCATACATGATTCCTTGTAAAAGGTTTCAGTTTGGTGTTTTAACCAACCTGTTTTGTTGCCAGAAAAAATGGGAAACTCCTATTATCATAGCAGATAGCGTAAAAAAACTTGGTAATTTGACATTCAAAGCGCCAGAAAAGCAAGAGGAAGCTGTAATGGGTGGGTCTGCATATAGGATGGAGGCAACAGGTAACAAACATGGGACACTCAGAGAACAAAAGGAAGATATCGATCATATGATGGAGACTGTAAATGAGCTAACCTTGGAGGTCAGGCGTCATCTGTTCAACAGCTGCAAAATCTAGCAGAAGGAAGCAATGGTGAGGTTCATGCGGCATCAACAGCAATGGTCATAATGACCGTACAGTCTTGGTAGGCCATAAATCCCATACAAGGCACCACGGTGGCGAGATATAAACTACCTCGCCTGGTATACAGGAGGTCGTGGGTTCAAACCAGACCCTGATGCCTGTATGTTCGTTGTTTGCATGTTTTCTATCCCCGTAGTTTCGTGGATTTTTTTCCGGGTCATCCGGTTTTTCCCTCCACATTTAGAAACATGCTTTTAGAATTTGGCTGCAATACATTTTCACGTGATAAGCCACTTCGTTGAGTTTGTGGCCAGGTCATTTCTGAAAAGAAGAGCTTAACAGCTCAGTGGACATTACCTGGTAAAATAAAAAAAATGTTTAGCTTAGTTTTTAGTTTGATTACCCCCCCTAGTTTTAACACATTCAGTAATTTACTTATTGTTGCAGGGGGGTGCAGTGGTGGTGAGGCACTGTGATTCCCGGCCATGGATAATATTGTTGTCGAGTGATAACGTAACTGGTGGTTGGCCTCCCCTTCATCAACTCGAAATGACCAGCGTAGTGAAGTATGCTCAAACAACCCCGTAACCAACACGGGCTTTGGGAGATTTTCATTCACTCATTGAATGTTATATATTTTTAAACAAATACTGCATACAGTAATGTATTATTTGTGAGTAGAACGTTGCATGCAATTTTAAATGTATATTCTTAAATGTCGAGTTGAAGTGTCTCTCTGCTCAAATGGGCATAGGGGAGAGTCCATATGTATTGGCAGCACTGTGCATTGAACAGTAAAGTGTACACTTCAACCTTCGGCACGGCCCCTCAAGAATTAGATGTAATCTTCTTATTTCGTTTGGCTAACGTAGATGCAGAGCAACAACTACAATTTCACATTCGGGTGGTCAGGCCAGATGATCGCGTCAGGAGCAGCGAAGTGAATGGATCGGGCATTGTTTCGTTATACATTGCACGGTCCGTTCTGGATGACCACAGTCGCACACTGTAGAGTTTTTAATTGTACATTTTGTGCATCAGGTATCCGCATCTGCTTCCATGGTGGATGCAGTTTAGAGTGAACTATGGGCTTCGTGGAAGATTAAACCCAGGGATCTTCGGCGTTGGGTCTTTCACAACAAGGTGTTTATCTTCTTGGTTCTTTCGGTAAAGTCACGTAGAAGGGAAATAATAAAATTATAAAAATAAAACATAATAAAATACAATTCTCACGACGTTTCGGCCACAACGCAAGCAGCCGTCCTCAGGTGAAGAACAGGTCTGTCGGAAAGACAGCGTCTGAATGAACACCACCAAGCTTGGCAGCGTATATTTAAGCTGGGTTGGAGGAGGAAGGGCGCCTTGACAAAGGAATTTGCATATCAACAGAGGAATTTAGCATATTTATGGAAAATGCAGATATGGGATTAGTCACTACTTGTGGAATGCGTAGGAGGTGGGGTGGGGGGTTTCAAAGTCATATTATGCCCGTGCATTATGTAGGATTAGCAGCAACAAAGGGAGGAGGTAGGGTTAGCAGTAATAAAGGGAAGGAATTTTAATAGTAAGGAGCTGCAGCAGCCAAACCACCACGTGACTTTACCGAAAGAACCAAGAAGATGAATCCCTGCAGTCACGAAATCTTTAAATCGAAATTTAACAAGGTGTTTGTTTGTGACTTAATTTTGAACCCCATTCAGCTCTCCAAGCTTCACCGGGGTTGAACTTGCATTGTTAAGTAATAACTTTATACTGTACTAGCTTGTACTAGCCGGCTTCGCCCGGGACTTGGATTCACCACGCCCGGCCACCTTTTTCCCCCCAGTGGCGATGTTCACACACCACACCAGTTACTCGTTTGAGGCTGAGTCGACCTAGGGGAGGCTCAGGACCGGTTAAAATAATTGTCACCGCTGGTGGCCGTGAGCGGGAATCGAACTCGGAACGCCGGGTTCGTAGCGCAGCGCGCTAACCACGACACTACAATGCGTTACGCTTCCACGTGCGCGGGTCACGTGACAGATTTGACGTCACAGCTCACTTGCAAAAAATCTATGCATTATTGAACTCCCCCCTCCCCCCCTTAAAAGGTGTATATTTATAATTTTTGCATGATGTACATTCTGGAAAGTACCCACATGGCAAATTTCAAGTTTTTTTGCATGTCGGGAAGTACGCTAAACATTTTGAACAGACACACATAATCACAGCTTTGCCTTTTATATATATGGAGATTACTACAGAGTAAACATTACCAGCAATAGTCCGGAGTCATGGGTACTCGGCGTGAGTGTCATGACCGGCGGTGCAATACCACCACCAAGACCGTGGAGTCAAGACGTCTTGTAGCGCACAACTCTGAGACATTAACCTCCCAGCTCTCACGAGACAAGCTCGTGCCATGCCCAGGTGATTACCATCACCACCACCCCCTCCAAAACACACGTAATGTTTTCTTCTGCGAGAACGTTAGGGCAGCTGTTGATATTCCACATTTTTAGTTCATGCAAAAAAAGATAACCGATATTTATCCATCATAAGCAACCACTGTTGACCTTTTGCAGAGCAGACTCTCAATTTGGCATAGTTATAAACGAAGTAGAATTCCATAAATGAATTGAGATCAAGCTATTAACGGTGGCACTGAACATCCCTCTGTCGCTCAGACCAGCGGACGAGGTGCTGTAATCCATTTGGTAATCGTCAGCCTGGTTCAGGTGTTATCAGAGGTGTGGAAAAAAGAAAAAAATCACCGATTAATTCCGAGGAGTAATTTGCCCAATTTTACAATTACAGTTTGAATGTATGCAGGGTCTAATGCAATTTGTGTACAAAAAAAACTGGCTGTACGCGCATTATGGGAACAAAAGAGAGGTGGTTATATTTTTTAAGTGAGGTGCAATTTAAATCACTGCCGAGACGGGGGACATCAGTGCTAGTGCAGAGAAACGGTCTTGAGCGTGGATTTGAACAGCGGAAGGAATTCTGCAGCATGGATGGTCCAGTACTAATTGTCGTTGAAAACTGTACTTGAGCTCTGGTGGTGGGGAGATGTTATCTCCCTCTCCTGGTCGGCATGAGTCATGGATTTAATCTCCTGCCCTGACGATGCCTACATACGACAGTTGTAGTTTGCGTGCTCTCTCTCTCTGTGGTGGTTGTGTCGATTATTCTCCGGGTCCTCTGGTTTATCCCTCCACATTTGGAATCAACATGCCTTTAGATTATACTGGTAGGAACCTCCAGGTTACACCAGCCCACAGGGGATTATTGTGTCCGTCGTGCAGGGAGGGGTTGGGTGGGGAGGGGAGGGTGGGAAGGGGCTGGGTGGGGAGGGTGGGGCTGGGTGGGGAGGGGAGGGGCTGGGTGGGGAGGGTGGGGAGGGGCTCGGTGGGGTGGGTGGGGCTGGGTGGGGAAGGGCTGGTCACCCCGTGGAGCCCTTATAAAACTCAACGTTTCACCTACTCACGCCGGCTTGTGCCCGCTCTCACAGTCGGGCATATTTGCGGAATACACCACGCCGCCGTTGACCCTGGCCATTGACCGAACAACCAAACGTTCCTACCAGCTCCCTCCGCAGGAATGTGTTTTGGCTGCTACTATAAATTCCCATGCGTGATGATAAAAGCCACTTTGATGAGTTGTCACGTGTGGCCAGGGCATCACTCTGTGGGCTTTACCTGGTAAATAAAATAGTTATATAAAAATGAGACCCCAAGTCTCAATCTAGTAGTCACATCTGGAAATTTGCCAATGAAAGTATCTCCACAGTAGGTGCAATACAATCTGGACGCCACACAAATAAATAGAATCAGAATCAGAAACGGGTTTAATCGCCATGTAAGTTTGCACAAACAAGGAATTCACTATGGCGGGACGGTGCATACATTGAACAAGTAGGAATCTTAACTTATATAAAAGGTATACACACTCTTAACTATACTAACGTTACAAAGTATAAGTAATACCAAAGGGCTAAAATCTTTAAAATTATGAATAAGTAGACCTTATAAAATGCGAATGTAAAATGTTAATTAGCCGTATTAAGCAATCTTAAAATACAAATAAGATTACACGTTGTAAGTATGGAAAGGTGTTATTATGTAGATAAAATGTTATAGTAAGTGTAACAGTCATTTTAAGTGTAAAAGTCATTTTAAGCCCTTGGCCTTGTTGAGGAGGCCAACAGCGGATGGGAAAAAACTGTTTTTATGACGTGAGGTTTTGGTCTTGATGGACCGCAGCCTTCTGCCGGAGGGGAGTAGCTGGAACAGAGAGTATCCAGGGTGCGAGGAATCGTCCGCAATCTTCCTCGCTCGCTTCAGGGTCCTCAAAGTGTGCAGGTCCTCAAGGGTTGGTAGATTACAGCCAATCACCTTCTCAGCAGTGCGGATGATACGCTGCAGTCTGCTCTTGTCCTTGGCAGTTGCAGCAGCGTACCAGACGGTGATGGAGGAGGTGAGGATGGACTGAATGATAGCTGTATAGAAGCACACCATCATTGTCTTTGGCAGATTAAATTTCTTCAGCTGCCGTAGGAAGTACATTCTCTGTTGAGCTCTCTTGATAAGGGAGCTGATGTTCAGTTCCCACTTGAGGTCCTGGGAAAGAATAGTGCCCAGGAAGCGGAAGGACTCAACATTGGTGACTGGGGAGTCGCACAGGGTGATGGGGGTGAGTGGGGCTGTATTCTTCCTGAAGTCCACAACCATCTCCACTGTCTTAAGAGCATTAAGCTCCAGGTTGTGCTGGCTACACCAGGTCACCAGGTTGTCAGCTTCCCTCCTATAGTCAGACTCATCCCCATCAGAGATGAGCCCAATGAGGGTGGTGTCGTCCGCAAACTTCAAGAGTTTGACGGACTGGTGGCTGGAGGTGCAGCTGTTGGTGTACAGGGTGAATAGCAGAGGGGAAAGGACGCAGCCCTGAGGAGATCCGGTGCTGATTGACCTGGCGGCAGAAACTTGTGATCCCAGTTTGACACACTGCT